TGGGAGAGCCATGCTTCGGCGCGAATGGGTCGACTCGACCGTAGTGATACCACGGCCTCACAGAAAACCGGCGTGTAATAACCATAGCGTTGTGTTTTGCCGTGTGAGTGAGGTTACCGGAGGTCCAATCCTTCCCCTCCCCCAATTTCCCTCAGTCCCTAAATCTCCAAATCCCTAATCCCTAAAAGGTCGGCAACGCACTCGTAACTCCTCCGTTGCGGGTGTCACATAAAAAAAGTATGGCTCACGCACTTATACAGTGTTATAGCATAGAACTATTATGGAGAATTAAGAATATCGGGTAACTCATAGGGGCTAATGTACGGTACTGCGTATAGAAGAAAGAAAGAAAAAAAAGAAAACTGTATTTATTTGGACCGAGACATGAAGTCCAAGAACAAACAAAAAAAAAAAAATCACATGTAATAAAAGTGACATTAATCCCAGAAATACTATTGTATTTTCTTAACTAATAATTAGTATTATTCATAGACCCTAAATAGACTTTTGGTTCAGTAGCTAGGCTACTGGTTGCTATGCAAAATTCCCGCACAAAACAATACGTTGTGTGTGTATTTGTAGTATGACTAACTAAGTGTGGGAAATCTATGCTTCGGCGTGAATGGGTCGGCTCGACTGGAGTGATACCACGACCTCACAGAAAACCGGCGTGAAACAACCACAGTGTTGTATTTCGCCGTGTGAGTGAGGTTACCGGAGGCCCAATCCTTCCCCTTCCTAATCCCTCCCCAGTTCCTAAATCTCCAAATCCCTAATCCCTAAAAGGTCGGCAACACACTCTCGTTTACCATCAGGTAATCTGTAAGCTCGTTTGCCGACCTATTACATAAAAAAAATTACTACAATTTGGAAATCAAACATAGTTTCTTTATGGTGTAGGAGGCAAACCTGATGGTAAGTGATCTGCGCCGCCCATGGGTATCCGCAACATCAGAGAAGTAAAAGATATTGCCATCCTTTAACAACACTCATTACTTGAAAGGTCTGGGTGTGATGTGTACTTGCTTTCTCTGCTTGTTAGTGTTGTTTAAACACACTTAGGCACTTGCGTGTGTTAAGATTAAAATAAGTAGATAATATATAAAGTTATTTATGTTAGTTATTATATACATATTAATTTATTAATTATAGTCTTTTACAGTATTCAAATTATTTTAGAGCCATACTATGATTTTATAAAATTATTTTTGATTAAATGTGTAAATCAATTGACATCCGGTAATCACCGAGCGGTGGGGGTACAGTGGGGGTATTTCTATATAAACCATTGCCGCCCACGGACCGACACATTTTGTTTGGCGACCACCGGACAGTCAACACCTCACCAGTCAGCTGATAACAGTAAGATAAGTGTAATTTATGAATTGTCATTTTAAAATTATGTACCGTTTATTTTATTTTATTATTTACATTACTTTTACTGTTAAATTATTTTCTGCAAATAAAATGTACCTTATACCTAATTAGTCATATTATAATTATGAAATCTCCTACCGCTAATACCTATGCTTTGATTATGTAGTATGATTAAAGTTTAATTCCAAAAAAATAACATCTATTATTTAAAGAGTAACACCTAGCCTAAATAACATAAAAACTATCCCAGATATTTAAAATAAATGTGAATAAGTACAACATATATAAACATATAAATATATAAATATATCTTTCTCTTAACACGTGCATAAGAAAGGGGAGCCTTAGTCTCCGGGCCCCCTTTAACGTCGAAGATAAAATCCAATCCACAGGAAAAGGACTGAATACTCTCCATTCTTATTGTTGAACTAAGATAGTGTATGTGAGCAGATCGAGTTACCCTATACTGACTTAGTTTTTCAATTTACAAACTTGTGTCGAAATATTTAATGTTGATAATCTAGTTGAGATTAATTCATATGAAGACAAATCCAAGAAAACAAAATGCTCGAGTTTATATATAATAAATAAAACATGGTATACCTAACATTTTCACTCCAACAATCACAAAAGACCTTCAGACTATCCAGAAATACTTTCCAAACAACAACCATTTGGACCGTCTGATATTAATAGAAACCACAATTTATTATTCTTATTCCTTTGCTTCATAGTTTAGTTATAAACTGCTTTATTTTCGCGACATTTCCGGATTTAGGCCATGTAGAAAACAGGTCAGCTCATCCAGCGGCAAGCAATTTCGTTTGACAAACATCTACGACGTTAGGCAAGTAGAAACAGAAGGCCAAATAAACTCTATTTTGATAGGATTTTTGCAGTGATATTGCCATGTGATCTATTGCACTTTGTGTTCATTATAACTAGATAGAAAAAAGACTTTAATTAAATGTGTAATCCTATTACATATGAGTATGTTTTCTCACTGTTACCGTATTGTACTAAGTAACTTATACAATACGGTAGCTTCTAACTGTCAAAAACAATACTTTTCTATGGAACTCCAAATTATGGCGTTATCATATTTCGTCATCAAATGTCTAACTTATTTCTCAGTTATATGTAATTTCTATGATTATTTATACACCACTGACATATGGCAAAGAAAAACATCGTGAGAAAACCTGGACTTATAATTTCAAGTTTGTTTTTAATTATAAGTTTGAAATCGCAAATCCGCCTTGAGAAAGCGTGGTAATTGTGGATCAAACATTCTCCGTGTGAAAACAGTCCTTTGCTCAGCAGTGAGCACTTATGGACTGATAATGTGATGTGATGTGTTCATGATAGACAATCGGATTTTACTGTAAACTCATTCAACAGTAAGTACATTATTTTACAGAAACTGTATTAGACATTTCTTTGTACTTCTGCGGATTATTCAATCTGTTTCCATGTTGACAGCCAGTCCACTCTCAACTCAGCTTCATAATTAATACGTTGGGAGTGAATAAACAGAACTCCACAGCTGAAGTTATCGTCAGAATTAACATAATCAACAGCGCCATCTCTTGTCGGGGACGTGAAAGTAATGGCGGCAAAGTATTTTGTACTGCTGTACTATGTTCTAATGAATTTACATTTTTTATAATTATTCAAGGATGAAGGATGTATGTGAATATTAATATTTATGCAGATAGCTCTGTCTCTCCGAGTCTAGACTTTCAACCTTCCAGAAAAGTCAATAATTTACTAGAAGAGTTTGTTTTTGAAGATGTGAATTAATATTTATCATAGCTGTGATTTCTGGTTTACTTAGTAAGCGTACTCCATTATTATGGAATCTTTGAAATGGATCCACTTAATACTGACTGCAAAAATTACGTATCACCAATATCATATAGGATTTCTTCGTTCAAAATTAAATCTAAGTTAACATTTTAACAATGTGTGCAACAGTCGTGCTTTGTCCCGTATAGGTTACCTCGACCGGAGTGATATGACAGACTTACAGAAAAATGGCGTGAAACAACCACGTTGTGTTTCACAGAGAAGAATAGGAAACCTTACTTACCTTTTCTTCTCCTCCCCGTAGATTGCTTACCATCACGTAATCTGTCGGCTCGTTTACCAACCAACTTCATAAAAAACAAAATCGGTTCTAATCAGCATTACTTTCCTATAATTACAACTTCTTCAGCGGTCTGTGCTCATCCACATATAGAACTGGTCCATGGAATAAATCAGAATAATAGTTAGAAACGTGTTTCGTGTTTGGCATAGTTGGTGGTGTTCCATCAGATACATAGTTCTTCCCTTTTAGTACTAGTTGCCCAGTACAGTGAAGAATGTAAAATTCTAACAGAGCGTTTGCGATATCATCTCGCCAATCCCTAGTCTATTCATGAATTTGTTTTTATAAACTTAAATCGTAACTGTATGTCGTAATGACAAAGGGTATAGATAGATAACTTATCAGATTAGACGAAGATCTTAGAAAGCAATCGTGGATTCGTGTGATTTACCAACTTATTATAATTCATTCCAAACATGGAATTAAACGGAACAAATTACTTACAAATTAGACACCTATCAGCATGAAATGAAACGGAATTTGAACATTAAGATAATTTGCAAGCGTCCGGAATTCGGTTAAAATGATACTTCCATTACATAAAAGGATAAGGGGGAAACCTTTGTTCAGCAGCAGATGATCACATTATCATTGCAGCTAGTTATAATTTTAGATTAAACAGTAGGTATAACGGTATAAGGTATAAGGTGTAATAACAATGGACTAAGTACGATACATAAACAGTAACGAAGACAACAGAAAAAGAAAGGGAGATTGTGTCATAGGTATCGACATTGATAGGGCCCAAACGGGGCATGCTAAGCCATCGGTGTGGGTCAAGCGCAATAAGGTACAGCTGCACCAGCCTGAAGGTGGGAGTAAGAGTCTGACATTCCCTCTTCGTGAGCGAAAGAAGACATTTGATGAAAAAACTATAATTTATGTATATTTAAGCTAATAGTATAAAAATGGTTATTTCAACTCACCAGATGATGTTCCTTAATATTTAACAATTGCCTTTGCACGGGTTTATAAATAAGTCACACATTCTGCACGAATTGTTATCATAAAAAAGACAAGCAACTGTCGTTATGATGTGCGAAATTGTGCCGATGTAATAAATAAGTCAACAAAACGCAGCTATTAAGTTTGTGCTATCCGCAGGTTTTGCATCAATCAGCACTTGTGTGATTCCAATAATTATTTGCTTCTAATGAAGTGCGATAAGTATGTTTAAAAGACTATCCATCAATTAACTTGAACACTTCACATGGAATACTTACTTAATGAGAACCTTTATCTAGAACTAGATCTAGGTCACAGCGAAAAAGTAAAAAAACTTTTTTTTTATTGTACTAGTTTTATCTGTTTGGCACTACAGTAACTAATTGCAGCTTTTCTCTCCCCAATCTTCATTAACATCAGAATCACAAACAAAAAAGATAAAGAAAATAAAACACAAATTCATTTTTGAATAAACCAAGATCCAACTTCTTTTACAATGAATGTATTTCAGAAAATAATAAAATGATCAATGAATTTTTAATTTGTATATATCTTTATAGTAGTCATGTTTAGGAGGCCCTTCGGCTGTTGGAACATTTCTTAGAGGTGTAACTGGCGGAGGTATGGCTGCGGCCGCCGCTTGCTCAGCCATTGCTTGTGCTACCCCTATTTGATAACCCACTTTTACACGACTTCCTAAATCTTGATCAACCAAATGTAAAAATTTCAGGGCTCTTTGTACCACCGGTGGTGTAACTGGTACAAGGGACATGACTATATTATCAATAAATCTCTGCCTGTGGGCTTCATCTTCTAGAATAAAGTTATAGAAATACCACAACGGTTCTAAATCGATAGCGTTATTTTCCAATACTTGCAGCTTCTTCTTTGGTCTCTTTTCATCTACATATGGAACTGGCCCATTGAATGAATTAGGATAATAGTTAGGAGCGTTCTTCATATTAAGCCTAGTAGGTGGCCTTCCATCTCGCACATACGTCTTCTCGTACAATGGTAAGTTTACTAAAATATTATTGTGGTTTCTGCCCAGACGGTAATTTTGAGTGTCCCTATAGAAAGTTCTTCTACCACGGAACAAAAAGTCTACTGGTCCAGGAATACCGGGTACTAAATGACCGGGATTAAACGCGCCTTGTTCAACATCTCTGAACTGATTTTCTACATTTTTGTTTAGTACCAACCGCCCAACCTGTACAGTGAAGAATGTACCATTCTTCCACAGTCTTGTGACATCGAACGGATCATAATCGAGTTTTTGTATGTCGTGTTTAGTCATCACGTCCATCTCTAGTCTCCAAGCAGGGAACTTCCCTGAATCGATAGCGTTGTATAAATCTCTATTAAAGTAATCTGGATCTTGAGCTTGAATAGCGGCGGCTTGGGCAGTTGTGAGTGTTGCGATGCCTTGCTCCGTTCTAAAGTTGAATCTCACATAATGTGTCTCCCCATGCTTATTTGAAAGTTCATAAGTATGAATGGGGAAAGCATCCATCCGCCTGTAGCCATCTGGTATGCCATAATCAGCGAATGTCCAGAAAAGATTGTGATTGACTACCGGTCGTAGCGTCATTAAATCCCATTGTGCCGTAAAATCGAACATATTGGTCTGAGGATTTCTTTTAAAAGCATGTACCAGGTTTAAGAAGAACATGGGGTCTCTGTAGAGATAAACAGGAATTGAGAGGCACAGAAGGTCTAAATTTCCTTCCTTCGTATAGAACTTGATGGACATACCCCTCAGTTCTCTGCCCAGATCAGAGCCACCTAAATTTTGTAGTGCAGATGACAATCTTACGACCAACGGTGTCTTTTTCCCTATCCCATTGAACACATCAGCATATGTATACTTGGACACATCGTGCGTGACTTCGAAGTAACCGAAGGCTCCTGTACCCTTGGCGTGTACCACACGCTCTGGGATTCTTTCGCCATCGAACGTCGAAAAAGTGTCTATGAGCCATTGATTGTTAAATTGATCGGAGTTAATTGACAGTGTGTCACGGATTTCAACCGGGTCTCCGGCAACTTTGGTCCATAGTCCTATCGGTAGCTGAAATAAAATATATATTTATGCCATACGAATGAAAAACTGGTTGATATTTCTAAATATAATATTAAAATATATTCGAATACAAGATTTCTTATAAAACAATAGACATTAAAAATAATTTATTTTTCACATCTCTTATCTCAATAAAAAAAAAATTATAACATTATATAGTTTAGCTCAGGATCTTGTGGATAAATTATTTAGTCCGAGAATATTTTATAAAAAAAAATTAAAACTTGTCAACTCACCGGATGTTCTTTCTTGAAATCCAACAACTGCCTTTGAACGGGTTGATATGTTACATTTTGATAAATAACACTTTCCACACGAATTACTACACAAAGAAGACACGCAACAACCACCTTCATGATGGAATTGTGCGTTTTCAACAAATCTCGCTTATATAAGCCAAACATCAATCAGCTATAATGATAAATAATAATAAGTGCTCAAAACGCAACTCAATACATACATATATGTACCTACAACATCCGTAACTTTAGTCAGAATTGGTATTAATCAAGATTAGAGTACATTGGTGTAATAATTATGTAATTATCTTCTAGCAAAGTTCATTGAGCGTACTTGATGTACATCTGCCTTTATTGCAATTTGCATATTAAAAATAATATTTTTATTTAAATCTTAACTAAAGGGATTTTATCCCTTGTCTTCACACGCGTCTAAAAGTAATGTTTCCCGGGATGTTTTAAACACTATTGTTTTAGATTTTTCATCAAAATTTTATTTTGGAATTCCCGTGGAAATTTTGCATCTAAGGTACCTGCATGACAAATATCAAGCGTCCAACTTAAGCCGTTTAGATTTTCTCACACAAAAGGAGTTCCTTTCTTAGTACACCTCTACGGTACCTAAGCTACATCTCTTCAAAATTTCAGTTGCCTACGTGTAGCCGTTTAGGTTGTGCGTTGATATGTCAGTCAGCAGTTTCTCCTTTTATACATTCAGATAATAGTATCCACGACGGAATAAATTGATAGCATTTCCAAAACTTGTCCACATCTTAAACTTCACCCACCAAAACAATAGGCGGGGTTATAGGTGCAAACTCAATAATATACCGCGGTTTCAGTCCCAAGCAGGAGTAGTAACGGGATGGTTTCTAGTCAGTAAGAGTCTGACACTCCCTCTCGCTTCACCAGGACGAAAGAAGTCATATCTTGAGATCTAAAAAACCATATTCATATTATACATGTGACGAAGTGTCATGACTTGAAGTCCTAAACCTCAGTAGACTAGAAAAGGAATGAAGATAGCTTATTTCAAGAGTTCATTATGATGCTCCGTCCGTTGACAAGGAGGGGAGAATGGAATACCTTCAAGATGACAGCATAGCAGGCCTCTGGTCTTGGACTCCAAGCGAATAATCTCCAAATCCCTAATCCCTAAAAGGTCGGCAACGCACTCGTAACTTCTCCGTTGCGAGTGTCCATGGGCGGCGCTAATTACTTACCATCAGGTAATCCGTCTGCTAGTTTGTCGAACTATTACACAAAAAAAATGTTGAATATCTTGAACATATTACTTATTTATTGTTTTAGGTCGGCAAACAACTAGACGGGATTACCTGATGGTAAGAAATCAACACCGCCGCAGAGCAGAGAATCACAAAAAGAGTTTTTTTTTTAAAAAAACGTTACTCCACACTAAGATTTTCTCCTGTGTCGTGGGTGCGTTTACAAACATACAATTTTACAGGCAGCCAGTTGCCCAGCCACCGCACCAACCGTGCAGTTCAGTGCAGAGTGAGGATTAGGTATATAATAGTTGTTTCATGCAGGAATCGAATTGATGACACATTGCTCAGCAGTTCTGCTAGAACAGAAAGAAAAGAAAGAAAGAAAGAAAAAACATTTATTTGAACAAGTGTTACATCACCTATATAATATAGCCAATCATACATAAGTCTGATTAGTTGGGATTTTAAAAATGTTAGTAGGTAGGTACTTATGAAAATAAATCAATATTTATTATTATTTATTACCTATAATACTAGTTAATTATACTGTAATATCAGCTTGTTAACACACTTAAGTTAATGCAAATACTTGTTTGCTAATTTAAAATATGATTAAAAGGTATTGTGTACTTATAAATGTTAATTATAACATTTATTTATTCACATTCCTATCATCATCATCAGCCTATAGGTGCCCACTGCTGAGCAAAGGCCTCTTCTCATACGGAGAAGGTTTGAGCATTAATCACCACGCTTGCTCAATGCGGGTTGGCAATTTCAAACTTATAATTAGAAATTATAAGTCCAGGTTTCCTCACGATGTTTACCTTCACCGTATGTCAGTAGTGTCTAAATAATCATAGAAAGTACATATAACTCGGAAAAAGTTACATTGGTACTTGCCAGGTTTCGAACCCACACTCTCATGCATGAGAAGCGGGCTCCTTAACCTCCGGGCCACCACGACATTCCTATACTTAGTTATATAGAAATAATTTGTACGTTTTTACGTAGAGTGTAATCTTTAAAACCGTTGGTCAGATTTCCAAAATTCTTTCACTGATAGATAGCTAGAATGATCCTAGGCTATATTTTATTAGCGAACAATTCTGTGCAAAACAGCTTTTATTACATAAGGATAAGCATACTATAAACTAAGCCCCAAAAAGCCGTTGTAATGGTTTGACTGTGGGGTCAACGAGTATATTAAAAATACAATAATAAAATTAAATTAAACTATAATTAAATTCCTAGTCTATGTATGTATAAGATATTGTTACTTAAAATTTAAAATATTTTAAAATAATGTAACTTTAATTTACGTTTAAAACTGTTTGAATTTGTTTCATTCGTTATGACTGCCGGCAGACTATTCAAGTGATTCGGTATTCTCTTTTTCAATATTCTTTTACCAAAATAGTTGGTGACTCTGTGTACATTACGTCATAAAAAATTATTAAGTGTGTCTAGTTGCTAAAATTTTGTAGGTACTTTTTAAACCTAAATTAAACGTTATTTTAAATGATTACACTTTCTTGATTTTTTTTAACCCCCACACTGAGATTTTCTCTCGTATCGTGACTGCGCTAACAAACGCAGGACCCGGACCAATAACTTGTGGGTAACAAAAAAAGTGGTTGCGTGCGGGAATCGAAACCGCGACACAGTGCGCGGCAACCAATTGCACAGCCAGCGCGCCAACTGTATAGTTATTAAGATTTAATTTTGATTTTACACTTCACTACCCACGCTCAAGTTTCTTTTATACATTTCTTTTCAGAGGATGTCGGGAAGAAATCGTTTTGTGTGATAAGACTTCCCATTGTAATCACAAAACTTATTATTTTATTATATCTAACATGTTTATGCTTTGTGTAATGTGCAATATAATATACAATTATACATAAATAAACATATAGCTAATGTAATTCAATAAAATAAACAATAATAATAAACGTAAAATCAATAGAAAGACACATAAAGAGATTGAATAAATGACGTAATTATCGGACATCGGAAATAAAACTAATGTCGTCGACGTTGCACTTAGAGTAAAATAATAATGTACATGAAATAAAAGAAAAACATCATGAAAACTTTTTATTAAAAACTGCATAATATACACGAGCTCTTCTCGAGAATTTTGCGCTTCAAAGAACCATTAGACCACTGCAGCTTATGGGGCTCAATAGAGTTGACGTTCAGTCAGGATAGCAGATGTAAGGCCAAAAATGAACCACAACCAAGGCCTGGAGTACGAGAATTAAACGTGGGGTATTTTAGTCAGTAAGAGTCTGAACTCTCTCTATCTCTCTCTCTCTCTCTCTCTCTTGCCTCTTGCAATGCCATTTGGTGATCATATCTCCGCAAAATAGCCACGAGTATGGAGATTCATAAGGAATTGAACAGTAAAGTAATAATTTCTGCTACAATAAAGAGGATACGCCTGTTATTATTGTATTACAAAAATACTTAATGCAATGTACATAATGTGTTGTTTCCCTTTTATAACATGTTTTTTCTCAAATGCTAATTTCAACATTATTTCCGTTGCACGCTAATCCATTGGCGATCGGGGTTCTACGATTTTAATGATTTAATTGTTATATGTACCTAATTTTATATATCATTTTAAGGTCAGTTATAAGTAAGGTTACTAATCTCGATACTAATATCAATCCCTAATTAAAACACATACTATATACTTAATAGAATTCGTACAAATAAAAGAAGTTATGCATCTCACATACTTACTTTTTGTACTGTTCTCAAAACAAAAAAAAAGAGTCATGATTGAGTTTCGCGCTCATTCATCTCTACTACTATTCGAATCTACACCTTTGACCGACTCCATAACTTCAATGACGAACAGACTGACAGACTATTATTCTTTACTAACTATATGTATATCTACTATAACTACGTAATACTATTTCGTCGCCGTACCTTTTTCTTAAGTTCCAAGGACTGCTTTGACCTGACTTAATGTTCTTTTCGTGTGATATATTGGCAAACGAGCAGACGGATTACCTGATGGTAAGCGATACCCGCAGCACTAGACGAGATACGAGTGAGCTACTTTTGGATATTTAGGCAGGTATGGGGTGGGGGCGAGGAACGATTGGGCGTCCGGTCATACGGCCAATCACAACGCTGTGGTTATTTCACCTTGGATTTCCTTGAGGCCGTGGTATCACTCCAGGTGTCGAAGCTTGCCTCTCCCGCACAAGTCCCGCACTAATAACCTTTATCCCCAATATGTGGCATTTATAGAGCTTGTCTATATTACAATTGGTCTTGCGCTTCACGCTTCACCTACCGCTACGTCATTCTATTACTAACTGTTCACTAACGCGATGCAATGCTACCTAGCGTTGACCGTCATATCTATGTGGTGGCCACGCTTCTATTATTACTTCATCAGTATGTGCTTTGGCTTCGTGTGGTTTTCACTAGCACATTTGCCTACTTATCTCGTTATGTTTATCCAGTTACTTTTTATTTTATACTAGCGGCCCGCCCCCGCTTCCCACGGGTCCAACTATCACGCTATCAAAGGGTCATTTTTTCCTGATCTTCCCCTGTACTATTCATTGATAAGAACCTTCTCCTGACAATAACAAACACAACAAAAAAAGAATTAGCAAAATTGGTCCAGGCGTTGTTGAGTTATGCGCTTACCAACACATTTTGCGATCCATTTTATATATTATATTGTAAGGGTATGTATGTATACCATTCTCATGCTAAGAACTCTAGTTTAGTAAGTATGTTACTAAAAAGCTATTATCATGTTGATTTATAAGAACTTTTCCTTAAAGCAACCATTTGTAGTACTAAGAACAAGTCTGTTTTGTGATCCACAAATTGTTGTTCCGGGTCTGGGTGTGATGTGTCTGTGAAATTGTTCTAAACGCATTCACGACAAATAGGAGAAAATTTTATCCAGATACTGTTGGGGCACTATTTTCTTTTTAAATAAAGTATACTGCTTACAATTAATTTAAAAACAACAACACTTACCTGACTAGAGCATCTCAATAATCACACTAGAGCATAACTTTTATGGAGGTGATGAAAAAAGAAACAAGATTAAGTAGACAAAGTCGATTCTAGCCGCTTTACTTTATATTTTCATAAAAAAACTGGTCACATATTTGGAATTGCCAAAAAAAAACAATCTTGGTGTATTCGATTCAATTAATTAAATAAGAACAGAAGGGAAAACAGAAGTGGTTCCGAAATTTTGCTACAGAATTAAAATTTTAGAGGAAGCCTTTATTTACAATTATTGTTTCGAATATTAATGGTGCGGATGCTCATAATGAATACCTAATTGGTAAATACTTTTTGTATCGTTGTGCTTAGGAGGACCTTCAGACGATGGGTAATTCCTCTTAGTTGTCACAGGCGAAGGAGTGGCAGCTTGTTGGGTCATCGCTAGTGCTACACCTACTTCATAAGCAGCCTTTGCGCGTTTAGCCAAATCTTCATCAATCAAATGCAACAATTTAAACACTTTTTGTAAAACAGGTGGTGTAACTGGCACGAGAGTAGCGGCCAGATTCGTAATAAATCTCTGTCTGTGAGTCTCGTCTTCAAGAATATAGTTATAGAAATACCATGCCGGTTCCAAATCAACAGCATTACCTTCCAATACTTGCAATTTTTTCCAAGGTCTGTGCTCATCCACATATGGAGCTGGTCCATTGAATGAATTAGGATAATAGTTGGGAGCGTGCTTCATGTTCAGCCTAGTCGGTGGTCTTCCATCTCGTACGTAATTCTTTTGATACAAAGGCAAGTTTATTAAAATTTTGTTATTGTTTCTTCCCAAACGATAATTTTGAGCGTCTCTATAATACGTTCTCCTACCACGGAACAAAAAGTCCACTGGCCCAGGAATACCAGGTACTAAATGACCGGGATTAAACGCGCCTTGTTCAACATCTCTGAACTGATTTTCTACATTTTTGTTTAGTACCAACCTTCCTATCGGCACGGTGAAAAATGTACCATTCTTCCACACCCTTGAGACATCGAATGGATCGTAATCCAGTTTTTGTATGTCATGTGGCGACATCACATCCATCTCAAGTTTCCAGGCAGGATACTCTCCCTTATCAATGGCATTGTATAAATCTCTAGTAAAGTAATCCAAGTCTAGAGCTTGAATTGCAGTCGCTTGAGGTGTAGTGAGTGGTGAGAAACCCTGTTCAGTTCTGAAATTGAATCTGACATAATGTGTCTCTCCATGTTTGTTTGCGAGTTCAAAAGTATGGATGGGGAATGCATCCATCTTTCTGTATCCATCTGGAATACCGTAATCTGAGAATAGCCAAAAGAAGAAGAGAACAGCCGATGGTTTTGATGTTATTCTGTCATAAACGCTCGTGAAATCGAACAAGTTAGTCTGAGGATTCCTCTTTAGTGCATGCGTTACATCTAGAAATTCCAATGGGTCTCTGTATAGATAGACAGGTATTGATAAACTTAATAAGTCAAAGTTTCCCTCTTTCGTGTAAAATTTGATGGACATCCCCCTCGGTTCTCTGCCAAGGTCAGTACCTCCCACGTTTTGTAATGCGGATGAGAACCTTACGACCAAAGGTGTTTTTTTCCCGACTCCATCAAACAAATCTGCATATGTATACTTGGAGACATCGTGCGTCACTTCGAAGTAGCCAAAAGCTCCTGTACCCTTGGCGTGTACCACACGCTCAGGTATTCTTTCACCATCTAATGTAGAGAAATTGTCTATAAACAACTGGTTGCTAAATTGATCCGAGTTAATTGAGATAGTGTCACGAATGTCAACTGGATCCCCCGCGTACTTGGTCCACAGTCCTATCGGGTGCTGAAAATAATATTTGAGAAGTTTAGTTGTGTAACTTTGATTTCTCGACGTTATAACTAAGGTACTCAAAATAATAAAGAACCGTTAAAATCCAAACTCAAAAACAATCTCCTCATAAAATATAGTTATAAGTTATGAACCGTGTCTACTAAAGCGTCACAGTTTTCTGTTTTTAAATTTGTATATTGATTGATTAATCGTCATTCATCATCATCTAGAACCCTAGCCTAAGTACTCACTGACGAAATACCACACGGAAAAGGAATAATAAAAATCCCAACTTGACAATAATTACTTAAATAAAACATTTTCATATGTCAGTGATGAACATACATAATTATATCTTATTCGAAAAAAGTAACATTGGTACTAGTCAGGTATACCTTTAGCATATCAATTCGGGCCACTACGATACAAAATATTAAAAAAAAGTTATAGGAGTAGGCTGCGCGACGTCGCCCCGTCCGCGCACGCTGCTCATGAGGAAGAACCCCTCTGTGGTGCGAAACTAGTAGAGCTTTTCTCAATATACATACACACGTGAGTAACCCGCGATTTTTAGTTAATAAAAAAAGTATTTTAAAAAATATTATTTTACTTACAGGGTGTTCCTTCTTGAAGTCTAAAAGCTGCCTTTGTACGGGTTCATATGTGACATTCACATACTCATCACAATTCACAAATATTATACTACAAAACAGGTATACTATAATCGCTTTCATTGTTGTATTGTATTAATGTACCTGTCTTCGAAACTGACGATTCGATATTTGCTTTTATACCGATTTTTAGACAATAACAATATAATTACCAAATTAATCAGTTAGTAATAAATAATAATTATAGCAACAAATAGGTACAACCGCTGTGTTTTTCCGACTTGCAGCGTCGAACACAAATATTAAAAAACTATAATTAAAAGGAAGCCAGATTTACATAATTATATTATATACATAGTTAATTAATTTATTGCATGGTTCTTTATAAACTATCCGTAAGAATATTATGTTATGAGATAAAGAAAATAGCAAAAAGCATTAATTATCATCATCAGTATGTTCCCGTTCAGTGCTGGACATAGGCCTCTACTCACTGAGCTCGATGTTCAGCTGTTCCCATCCAACCACTGCTAGCCACCTAACGGATATCATTAGTCCACTTGTGCAGGGCGCCCTACACCACGTTTGCCTAGACGTGGTCTCCACTCCACAATGCATCCGCAAGGATAATATAATAATTAGGTTGGTAAAGTGTAATTAGTCGTAATTAGTATGCTCATGTCTACTTAGAATGGCTGTCTCGAATAGTATAGTATCAGTTTCTCACAGGATATCTGAAAGAAAAAATTACTCTTCATCATCAGCATCATCATCATCAGACTATAAGTGCCCACTGCTGAGCAAAGGCCTCTTTTCTCAAGGTTTGAGCATTAATCACCACGCTTGCTCAATGTGGGTTGGCAATTTCAAACCTATGTATAATTAGAAATTATAAGTCCTGGTTTCCTCACGATTTTTACCTTCACCGTATGTCAGTGGTGTCTAAATAATCATAGAAAGTTCATATAACTCGGAAAAAGTCACATTGGTACTTGCCAGGTTTCGAACGCTCACCCTCATGCATGAGAAGCGGGCGCCTTAACCTCGGGGCCACTACGACATCGTCGACCTCGACGACGAGCCAGAAAAAAAGACTCTTAGTGGCTAAGTTTGCTGTGGTAAATCATCATCACTCTGTAAGTGACTGCTACTAAGCAAGGGTATTGTCTTATTCGGGGAAGATTTAAGCACAAATCGCTACGCTTCCTCAAGGCAAATTGGCCATTTCAAACGTATAATTTGATCTCCTTACGTTGTTTTCCTTCACCGTTTGTTAGTGGTGGCTAAATAAGTCACCAATGATATGAAAACAAATCTTAAAAACTACACATAACTTGGAAAAGTCATATTGATTTATTTAAATTTAATATTTTTTATTCAGACGACGATACCTAATACATATACACATATACATATATCAAAAACTTGTCAGCAAAAAAACCTAAATCTTTGTGAGTACCACTTCATGAGAAGCCTTAACCAAAACTCCGACAACCATGACAATTTGGTTCACGAAAGTTCATTAAATAAGACTAACGGATTTCCAACCCACATAGTAGGTACATTACAATTTATAATTTTCTTTAATTTCTCTATCGTTATTGAAGCACGAAGCTCATAGATAGCTAGTTAAAAAATCTTGAATGTTTTGCAACATAAACTTGAACGCCGATTGTAAATACTTAAAGTAAAACACTTTACGCACTAAAAAAACTTATAATGCTCAGATGGCTGCACGGTTGGCGCAGTGGCTAGGTAACTGGCTGCCGTACAACGTGTCGCGAGTTCGTTTTCCGCATGGAACATCTCTTTGTGTGATCCACAAATTGTTGTTCTCGGTCATTGTATTTTCGTAACCGCGCCCACCACACCGGTGAAAACCATAGTGTGGGGAAACGTTTTTATCACAAAAAGAAGTAGGTATATAATTATGTACGTTTATAATTGAAGAATTGAAGTCAGTTATTTTTACAAGTCAATAATTTTTAGAAGAAGGAACAGAGTGGTTTTATTCAGTAAGAATTTGATCTGCTCTCTCGGGGCGAAAGAAGGCAACGCGACTCCACAATTGAAATATTTTTTTTTTTATGGAATTGGTCGGCAAATGAGCACATAGATTACCTGATGGTAAGCAATCGGCGCCGCCTATGGACACCCGTAACACCAAATGAGTTACGAGAGCGTGGCCGGCCTTTAGGGGATAGGGGTTGCGGATAAAAGGATTGGGAAGTTAATAATCTATCCACTTAGGATATACATACCTAAATGCGTTCATTCACGCTTAATTGTCTGTGAAGATAATTAGAGTACTTTCACATTATGTGATCCGATATATGTACATAGGTATCGGACTCACTAATATCAAAGCATGTTACATACCAGTTCACCATTACATTACCCGAATAAAAATATCAATTTTCTACACTTTCTTTGCACGACAAATACCGAAATTAAGAAATATGCCAAAAATAAAACCACTAAAATCTGCGAGCTGAAGCAGACCACACTCGAAAAATACATTTAATTTTTATTAAGAATCTCCAAAAATATTCCTATTACCATAATAGATGACGGCTGACAGAAAACCGGAGTAAAACAACCAGACCGTCGTGTTCGCCGATGTGAAGGTTACCGGAGGCCCAACCCTCCTCTTCTCCTGCCCCGAATCCCTAAATCTCCTAAACCCTAATCCCAAAAACGCCGGCACCGCACTTGTAACGCTCTTTGGTATTGTCTATAGGCGGCGCCGATTGCTTGACATCAGGTTATCCGTCTGCTCTTTTGACGTCCTATCATGTTAAAAAGGTGAGATGAGATCATTTTATAAATGTTGTCAAGTAATAAGCATTTGCCAAGTAATAAGCAATGTGACTTTTTCCGAGTTACGTGTACTTTCTATGATTATTTAGACACCACTGACATACGGTGAAGGTAAACATCGTGAGGATACCTGGACTTATAACTTCTAATTATAAGTTTGAAATCGCCAACCCACATTGAGCAAACGTAGTAATCAATGCTCTAACCTTCTCGGTATGAGAAGAGGCCTTTGCTCAGCAGTGGGCACTTATAGGCTGATGATGATGATGAGTAATTACTAGCCTCCGCCCGCGGCTTTGCTCGTATGGTATGTTGATGAAAAGAAGCCTATCCCCTATACCTTTAACTGGAACTGGAACTAACTTTCTCACGACATTCAGAAACCAGACGCAAGCGAATTTATAGGCTGATGATGATGATGCTGAATAAGCATTGACATATTTATTAAAAAAGAAATCGATGCATATTTCTTGATCTTGGTTAAACATGAACCCGCTGGTTACAATCACATAGCCTCGTTGAAAGATAACCTCTTCCTGCAGCATAAAATTTTAATAACATGTTTCCTTTAAAACAATGTCCACATAACAGTGAATGAGCATTTTCTTAAATGATCCTAAAAATAAGACGTGTAAATCAATGTGTAATAAATAATCGACGAAGTAAATTCAATATATTTTTTGCATGATTAATTAATATTACCTACATAATTATGTATATATAAACAGTAATATAGGTTAATTACATTTGACTCGCGTCCGCAGATTTGTTCAAGCAATAATATAATAAAAAGATTTATTATTACATTCTTCATGTATGTAATCTGTTATAATTTTAATATTTATTAAGTTGTAACTTTTTAATTTTTTGTTATTTTTTACCTAGATCAATTACACTTATATTTATATGTTTTAAAAAACAGGTGTTTATTTAAAAAGAATGACTTTCATCTAACGTTTAAACAATTATCTTTCCCTACAACATTTTTCAACAGCTTTTGGGCGTGATGTGGTACAGAATATCTGATCTATGTAAACAAAGTGCTTTAATTAATCAACAAAAAACCATTACGCTGTACTTACTTTATTCGTATTCAAATATGAAAAATTTTCGTGTGGCACTAGCAGTTTTCATCGTAGAATTCGTCTCGTAAAATTCTCTAAATTCAGAATTTTCGAAGTTGGTTTTTATAGCTTACTGGCTTCTCGCGGTTTCACCCGCTGCTCGGCTCCGTTTGACCGTAGCGTGATTTTTATATAGCCTAGCCATATAGCATAGACTATATCTCTCAGGAACATTGTTGCTATCTATAAGTGAAAGAATTTTGGCAATTCGACCAGCGGTTTCAAACATTACCCCCTACATACAAACTTACAAACTAACAAATTTTACATCTTTATAACTAATATTAAAGATGTAAAATTTGTAATTATAGATATTAAATAATAAAATATTTATAATATAATATAAATTTTGAGTATTGCAATAAAACAAACAAACAAAATCTATTTCTAAGCAGTGTTAATATGGATAGCTAAACTATTAATGAAGTTCACTCAATTGAGTAGACTAATTGGTTGCTCGTTAAATACAAATTAAGTAAAGATGTGTTTTCAATAAATCAAATCATGCATTAGAAAACATTGTTTATTTTTTGCCAATCCATCCGCTCAGGATTTAAGGAAATTGTGTTTTTGCTTGTGAAATAATGAAAACAAAGCTAATTAGTTACATAAACGGTACAATTACACCTGTCTAGTAAATTGTTTAATGAAACATGCGCGAACAGTGTGGTTCTAAGTCAGTAAGAGTCTGACACCCCACCCATGGCGGAAGAAACAATTGGATGATGTAAACCCGATAAAAAAATGTTATAAAGTAGGTATATCGATAGAATTATTTTGTAAAAAGTTATTTGGTTCATCATGGAGTTTTGAACATTGATAAGTTTGAAGATGCTGGCGTGAAAAGCTTTCCTAATTGTCGTTTTGCCACCCCATGTATGCCTGTCCGTCATGTTTTACAGCTATTGTAGAAAAATAGTGTTAATATCATTTCTATTTTTATATCAATTATCTTCTTTCGATGCATTTTACGAAGGAAATGCCTAGAAAATCGAATGTTAAGTTTAAGTGTAAGCTGTAAAAGATTGATCGGCGTATGTATTTGTCGTGTTGTACCCTAAGGCTTAATGAACATCACAATGATAAACCACAGCCCAGTATAAAGCAGATGGAGCTGAATGAAGAATAGTTAAATACACATGCAATTATTAAATAACTGTTTTGAGCATGAATTCTATTGATATCACCTGAGTTTTATAGTTTCGTAAATCCAACAAACATAAAAGAAATGTACAAGTTAGTTAGTCGCATATCAGAAAAAATAATGTTAGCTTCATTTTTTATATAGTATGTTATAACAATACTAGAAAAACAATAAAAGCAAAACAGAGGAAAGAAATATCAACCAAATGAAACAAAACAAAACAAAATTAAATAAAATCTTCGAATAGTTTTTTATTCAGTCGTTTCTCGGTGGAATGTAATCAATTACCTATTTATGAAAAAAAAAACAAGAGTTATGTCAATCAATGATGATGATGTGCTCTTGGTGTATGCCTAATCGATAAACACTTTTTGTGTCGTTGTGCTTAGGAGGTCCTTCTGAGGTTGGATAATTCCTCTTAGGTGTCACAGAAGGTGTAGCTGCTGCTGCTTGCTCAGCCATAGCCTGTGCAACTCCTACTTCATAAGCCGCCATAGTGCGGGTAGCTAAGTCTTCATCAATCAGATGTAAAATCTTAAACACTCTTTGAATCACCGGTGGTGTGACTGGCACAAGAGTCATAGCAAGATTTGCAATAAATCTCTGTTTGTGAGCATCGTCTTCAAGAATGAAGTTATAGAAATACCATGCTGGCTCCAAATCAACAGCATTACTTTCTAAAACTTGCAACTTCTTCCACGGCCTGTGTTCATCCACATATGGAAGTGGCCCATTGAATGAATTAGGACGATAGTTAGGAGCGTTCTTCATGTTCATCCTAGTCGGTGGTCTTCCATCTCGCACATACGTCTTCTCGTACAATGGCATATTTACTAAAATCTTATTATTGTTTCTCCCCAAACGGTAATTTTGAGTATCTCTGTAGAACATTCTTCTTCCTCGGAACAAATAGTCCACTGGCCCAGGAATACCGGGTACTAAATGTCCGGGATTAAATGCAGCTTGTTCAATGTCTCTGAATTGATTTTCCACATTTTTGTTTAACACCAACCTACCTATTGGCACGGTGAAAAATGTACCATTCTTCCACAGTCTTGTGACATCAAATGGATCGTAGTCCAATTTTTGTATGTCATGCAACGTCATCACATCCATCTCAAGTTTCCAAGCAGGATACTCTCCTGAATCAATCGCGTTGTACAAATCTCTGGTGAAATAATCTAGGTCTTGAGCTTGAATCGCGGCCGCTTGAGCAGTTGTGAGTGGAGTAAAACCCTGTTCGGTTCTGAAGTTGAATCTGACGTAATGAGTCTCTCCATGTTCGTTTGAAAGTTCAAAAGTATGGATGGGGAAAGTATCCATTTTTCTGTATCCATCCGTTATTCCATAATCAGACATTGTCCAAAAGAACTGGTGAATATTTGAAGGTTTTAAAGTTATGATGTCATAACGGCTCGTGGCGTCGAACAAATTAGTCTGTGGATTTCTCTTTGTAGCATGAACCAAATCTAAAAACAACAATGGATCTCTGTACAGGTAGACAGGTGATGATATGCATAAAAGGTCTAAGTTTCCCTCTTTCGTGTAAAATTTTATCGCCATCCCCTTCAGTTCTCTAGCGAAATCAGTTCCTCCTGCGTTCTGTAATGCAGTTGAAAATCGAACAACCAATGGTGTTTTCTTGCCCACTCCATTGAAGACATCTGCATATGTATACTTGGAGACGTCGTGTGTCACTTCGAAGTAACCGAAGGCTCCTGTTCCCTTCGCGTGTACCACACGTTCAGGTATTCTTTCGCCATCAAATGTCGATAAGTCATCTATGAGCAACTGATTGTTGAATTGATCGGAGTTAATCGTTATGGTGTCACGGATATCAACTGGATCTCCTGCATTTTTGGTCCACATGCCTATCGGGTGCTGAAAAATTACCAAAACTAAGTTAACATGTATTGTGTGTTTAGAAATATCTTGCATTATTTGGAAAAATGGTATCTACGACTAAGAATATTTTTATTGAAGTCGACATGTGGCCTTTTTAGCACTTATAATATCATTTTTATTTATACTATTTTGAAATACAGTACTAAAAATATGTTGTAAGTTATACAGACCTGATGTTCCTTCTTGAAATCTAATAGCTGCCTTTGAACGGGTTGATATGTGATATTCACAAACTCGTCACATTTCACAAGTATTAAAGTACAAATCAGATACGCTATAATCGTCTTCATGGTGGTATTGTTTGCACCTATCTTCCAAATTAGCGTTTTCATTTTTTCTTTTATACTGGTAAGTAAATAATAGCCAATAAATCAATTATGATCACTCTACAATAATGTAGTAAGGCGTAGGCGCATTTTTTATGTTATCCATTAGTCAGAACCACTTACCTGTCTGATTTCATGCATGGTTCTCTATGATTTTATTTGTAAAATGACGGAAATTTGATATATGACTATTGACTATTGAATTCAATTATGAGCGATGAAGTTTAGAACAAAGTTTTAGTCTTTTTTTGTACATATATATTTGATGAAATGGTGAGATCAGTAACTGATGAATTCTGTAATGCAGTTTTGTAAATCTAATGTTGTTCTTAACGGTGTTTTCTTACAACAGCGTATGTATACTTTTTTGAGTAGGGAAAATCGTTTGGCTTCTCTTGCCCAGGGTACACCGAGAAGGATCTCGAGGGATCTCTGTGTCAGACTCCTACTGATAAAAACCCCGTTCATTCTCCTGTTCTACGCCAAGATCGCGGTATCATTGCGCTTGAACCGCAACCCCGGCTATACTTGGCGTACACTTACTCTTGCTTGCGTGGCTTGTTCTTGTATGATTTTACCATTTTATTTCAAGAAATTGTTATATAAACGACTGGTTCACATCTCTGGCATTTATGGTCTACAAGTAAATGGTGTGATGAAAATCACAAGCAATATATACAAATCCCTCATTTTCGATGTGGACCAACTTTTACTATTAACCTGCTATACTCTTGTTGTTTCATCCGCTGCTCGGCTGTTACAGATCGTAGCGTGATGTTTTGTAGCGTGTAATTTTGGAAATCCGATCAGCGGTTCCAATGGTTAACCCCTACATACAAACTTACAATTATAAATTTTACCTCTTTATAATATAGATCTGATAATTTATTAGTAAGTTATTAATTAATTGGAAAACAATCACCGGATCCTCTTTGTATTTAAGTTTTCATGATTTGCAATCGCCTTCGCCTTTATAAATATATTATTATAAAACGGTTTTTGAAACTGTTACGTTTAGAAATAATTTAATACCTAAAATAGTGATTGTATCTAGCATACCAAATATAGTCTGCCCAAAATTCTGTATCAAATTAATCTTGGTAATAAATGTATGGTTCTTAAGATTCAGTTTAGCACATTGTAACATCACCACTTTACCTGCCTGTTTGCACCCACCGCTGTCCAGCATTAGATAAAACTTTTTTTCTACGCAAAATGCAAGCATTCACCAATTTGTGATAGCGTGCGCAAGAAGCGCAGAATAATAACACAAAGTATTTATACAAGCGAGGTGTAAAACCAGGTTTACTCTATGAATTCAAGTGATATGCGATAAGACATTGTGATGAATAGCATTCTGTTCAGCTACTGATATAAAAGACTTCGCCTTGCATAAGTAGAAGGTGGAGATTCAAATGATACTTATAAAAAAAAACAGAGATGGACCTCTGGACTTACAAACAACTACAGAAAAGTGGAAGCTACTTTTATAATTTATAATATATTGTGACAGAAAACTCTTTGACATCATGACGTCAATGGATGGTTGTCAAACGTTGCCTAGAGATTGTAAATTTCGTCGTGAATTGTCAACACGAGTTGGTGTAATCGGTAAGGCGTGTGGATTACACCACAGAGACCCCGAGTTCGAGTCCCGCCGTAAACATGAAGTTTTTTAGTTGATGGAAGTTTTGTCGAACTTTCTGGAATATTTGAGTGAAAGTAATGAAAAATTAAGGAGCGAGAAGGAGAATAAATAAAAATGAATAACGAAATTATTGGAAGGTTCTGGAGGCATGACGATCAAAAAAGAATAACGAAATTGAATGTTCTAGAACCTGACCGGGGGTATATAAGCGGAACTGCGGCTCACCGCTGGCAGTTGAGTTCTAAGTCTAAAGCGATTCGGAAGAAAAGGAAGAAGTGAAAAAGAAGAAAAGTGAGTGAAATAGTGAAGTGCAGTGAAATAGTGAAGTGCTGTCAGTTAAGTGAAGTTAGCGTGAACGGCAAAGTTGTGTCAGTCGGCCGGACTCTGCTGGAGAGGAACGCCGATAACTTAACTCCGTGGACGCTGTAACTTAAGCGCAATAGAAAGTCTGAAAACCGGTATTAGTGTTTCATTTCATCCAATCCCGTAACCCAAGCCCGCATAGTCAGGAACGTGACGTCAGGCACGTAACATTTGGTGTCAGAAGTGGGATTGGAGAAAAATGCCGCTAGTGCCGCAGGACGTAAGAGGAGTGAGTACCCGTGCTATGTCAGAAGCGCAGCGTGTGAGGGAAGAGGGTGCTGCAGCTCAGACCAGCGATGCAGAAGCCAAGCCTGTGCAGATGGATCTTCTGCTACAGCTGCGGCAAATGATGGCAGAACAGCTGCGTGAGCTGAAAGAAGATCAAGCGCGCCGCCAAGAAGAGCAAGCACGCTGTCAGGCAGAACAGCTGTGGGAGCTGAAAGAAGTTCAAGCGCGCCGCCAAGAAGAGCAAGCGCGCCGCCAAGAAGAGCAAGCGCGCCGCCAAGAAGAGCAAGCGCGCCGCCAAGAAGAGCAAGCGCGCCGCCAAGAAGAGCAAGCACGCTGTCAGTCAGAACAGCTGCGGGAGCTGAAAGAAGATCAAGCTCGTCGCCAAGAGGAGCAAGCGCGTCGCTTGGAGGACATGCATAAAGATTTCACGAAGGGACTGCAAAAGGCTGTCGAACGGGTACAAGAAGTGGAGGAAGGTTTAGGCAAGTTGGAACATCGCGTCATGGCGATAGAGGAGAGAGTGGAAGAAGAGATCTCCAAAATCAAGCAGGAAGTGACAAGCCCAAGCCCTTTGAAGAGCCGAAGCCGTCTTGCAGCCGTTTTTGACGCCCCAAATGCGGCCTCAAGCGCAACGAAAGGGCTGAAGATTCCCCATTACGACGGAACAACATCCTGGACCGCGTTCAAGCTACAGTTTGAGACACTTATGGAGGCTTATGGTTGGACTCAGAAGGAAGCACAGTCAGCCCTCACCCTGGCCCTCCGTGATCAAGCGCTCTCAGTGCTGGAAGCTATCGGCGCAAGTGGGGATCTCAGCTTTAGTACCCTCCTCGACGCACTTGAGGCACGTTTTGGAGACAGCCACCTCGAGCACGTGTACAGAGCGCAATTAAAAGAGCGTACTCAGCGTGCTAATGAGAGTCTACAGCAATGGTCCGTGGAAATCGAGAAACTTGTGCGTCGAGCTTTTCGGTCGACTCCATCAATGATTGAAGGCACGCTTCTCCAAGCATTCATTGACGGTGTTCGGGACCCCGAAGTACGAGCTGCTGTTCATCTGGGCCATCACAAGAACATGAAAGAAGCTCTGGCCCATGCATTGGAAGTGGAAGCCGTGCGTGGTAACTCCCGTACCTTACGTCTGCGGGAAATGACGACAACGGAGCAGGTACCTCCACGCCGTCGGAACTTCATGTGCTATGGATGCGGAGAGCGTGGGCACATGCGGAGCGACTGCCCGAAGAAGGTGAACCGCCAGGACGCGGCGGTCTCAACTTCTGACCAGCAGGGAAACTAAATCCAGCCAGGGCTGCGGGGTGGGCGCTGGCCGGTAGTGGAATAACCCCAACAATCTACATCAAGCAAACTAACGATGGAAATACTCTGGTGATAGACGGTCAAGTAAATGGGAAAAACAGTCAGCTAACATTAGATACTGGAGCTTCAAGGACGGTGATAAATGTTCGGCTGCTCGGGCAAAACATCAGGAAACACGTTAAACCAATTGTTGGCCTACGAATGAAATCAGCTACCGGCCAGTGCATACCGATAAGTGGAAAACTGCATGTAACAATCAAAATTGGGGAACGTGTTTATCGACATGAGGTTATTGTGGCCAAAATTCTGGATGACTGCATCCTGGGACTTGACTTCCTGCAAGGGCACCAGTGTAACATCGACTTAAAATCTGGAGTATTACTATGTGGAACTGAGGAAATTCCGATGAAGGGTGGAACCCTGGGAAAAGTTTGCTGTTTAAGAAGAACTGTTCTTGAACCAAAATCACAGACTCTCGTACCAATCGCATTACCTAGGAGGAGGGAAGGAAGTTTACCTCTAAGGTGCGCTGTGATTGATAAATCGGAACACGTAAACTCATGGCTACCGGCGAGAACTGTCGTGGGGTCATCTGATGTCAACCGCATTCCGGTATTCAACTTCAGTGATTCAAAAATTACGATTGAAGAAGGAGAGCCTGTGGGCGTATTGGAAGAAGTGGCCTGGATAAGAAAATGCTCGGAGAATCTTGTGAAGAAGGACAGTACGGGAATAGACTTTGTAACGAAAATCTTAGACGAAAACAAAAGTCTGACAAAAGTGGAGACTATGAAAGCTAGAAATTTACTTCTTCGATTCTCTGATGTGTTTTCAAGAAGCGATGGTGATATTGGCCGAACTGGTTTGGTGAAGCATAAAATAAACACAGGTGATACAATGCCAATTCGTCAAAGGCCCAGACGCATACCATTCGCTCGTGAGAAAGAGGTTGAAGAAATGATTGACGATATGAGGAAAAATGACGTGATAGAGCCCTCTTCTAGCCCTTGGTGTTCACCTGTCGTGCTTGTCAAGAAGAAAGATGGTTCAACGAGGTTTTGCGTAGACTATCGACGATTGAATGATGTAACCAAGAAGGATAGCTACCCGTTACCAAGAATCGATGACACACTTGACACACTGAGTGGCATGAAATGGTTTTCAACGCTCGATCTGAAAAGCGGCTATTGGCAGGTGGATTTGGATCCCAAGGACAAGGAAAAGACCGCATTCTCAACTGGGAAGGGACTCTGGCAATTTAAGGTGATGCCATTTGGATTATGCAATGCACCGGCAACCTTTGAGCGTTTGATGGAACAGGTGCTGGCGGGACTGCTGGGCGAAACCTGCCTAGTTTACCTCGATGACATCATCATTGTTGGACGGGATTTTGACGATCATCTAAGGAAATTGGAAAAGGTACTCGATAAGCTGCGTGGAGCAAATTTAAAGTTGAGTCCAAAGAAATGCTCTTTCTTCAAGCGCGAAGTGAATTATCTAGGACATGTTATTTCTGAGAGAGGAATTGAGACTGATCCAGCCAAGACTGCCGCTGTTAAGGAATGGCCAACACCTAAAGACAAAACGCAAGTTCGGGCATTTCTTGGATTGTGCTCGTATTATCGGCGGTTTGTGAAAGGATTCTCGGACATTGCCAAGCCTTTGCATCGATTGACAGAGGAGAAACGTGCCTTTATCTGGGACGAGGATTGTGAGCAAGCCTTTCGAGAACTAAAAGAACGGCTTTGTAACACACCAATTCTCGGATACCCCAGCGCGAAAGGAATATTCGTAGTTGATACGGATGCCAGCAATATTGGAATAGGAGGTGTCCTTTCACAACGCGATGGTGAGCAGGAGAAGGTTATTGCTTACTTCAGCAAGTCACTATCCAAGCCGGAGAAGAATTATTGCGTGACCAGGAGGGAATTGCTGGCCGTAGTCAAAACTCTGCACCATTTCAAGAAGTATTTACTGGGACGGAAATTTTTGATCAGAACTGATCACGCTGCTTTGAAATGGCTGCTTCAGTTTAAGGATCCCGAAGGCCAAGTAGCCAGATGGTTGGAACAACTTCAGGAATTTGACTTTGAAATCGAACATCGCGGCGGAAGAATTCATGGCAACGCAGATGCATTATCGAGACGCCCATGCGTGGAAGATTGCAAGCATTGTGCCAAGAAGGAAACTGCTTTTCTTAAGGTAATAAGGACTGATACTGTTGACGAGGCATGGGGAGATGATGCGATGAAATTAGAACAGGAAAGAGATGCAGATATCAAACCAATACTGGAGTGGCTACGAAGTGGTAACAAGCCAAGTTGGAGTGACGTCGCCCAATATAGCGCGGTAACGAAAGGTTTATGGGCACAGTGGAAAAGCCTTACGCTGCATAACGGACTTCTGTGCAGGAAATGGGAATCAACAAACGGCAAGGACGAGCATTTGCAATTGGTGGTGCCTCGTTCAAAAATAAGGGATGTATTAAAAGCGTTCCATGATGGATCTTCTGGAGGACATTTGGGAATTAGGAGGACTTTGGTGAAGATCAAGGAGAGGTTTTATTGGTTGCATTGCAAATATGACGTCGAAGATTGGTGCCGGAAATGCACTAGTTGTGCAGCTGTCAAGGGTCCACAAACAAGAAGCAGAGGGGCGATGAAAATCTACAATGTTGGTATGCCTTGGGAGAGAATAGCCTTAGACATCGCTGGACCATTTCCAATCACTGATTCGGGCAATCGCTACGTTTTAGTGGTTATGGATTATTTTACAAAATGGCCGGAGGTCTTTGCCATACCGAATCAAGAGGCAGTAACTGTAGCCACAAAGTTGGTAAACGAGGTATTCACCCGATTCGGAGTGCCCTTGGAGATGCACAGTGATCAAGGACGGAACTTTGAATCCCAAGTTTTTCAGGAAACTTGTAAACTTTTGGGAATCCATAAGACTCGAACGACCCCTTATCATCCACAGTCAGATGGAATGGTCGAACGCTTCAACCAAACATTGGAGCGACATTTAGCAAAGGTGGTTGACAGCCATCAGAGAGATTGGGACACTTACATACCTCTCTTCTTGATTGCCTATCGGACTGCTGTACATGAAAGTACCGCAAAGACGCCTGCATTTGCAAATTTTGGAAGGGAATTGAGATTACCGGCAGATCTTGTATCGGGCTGTCCACCTGGTGACTCTCGCACCGAGTTTAGCGATTACATAAGCGAGTTAAGGGCAAAAATGTTGGACATTTATGAGCAGATCAGGGAGGCCGGTCTTCAAGCTAGTGATCGCGCAAAGACGCGCTATGATCGACGAGCCAATTCTGTTGGGTTTGAAGAGGGGTCATTGGTCTGGCTTCATAATCCAGTCAGAAGGAAGGGAAAATCTCCAAAGCTGCAACCGAGTTGGGAAGGTCCTTACGAGATAGTCACGAAGATCAATGACATTACTTACAGAATTCGGAAGTCTTCAAGGAGCCCTTTGAAAGTTGTCCATATAGACAGGTTGGCGAGGTATTACGGCAGCAACGATGCTCGGGACGAGCGAATCTAAGAGGGGGGCAGTGTGACAGAAAACTCTTTGACATCATGACGTCAATGGATGGTTGTCAAACGTTGCCTAGAGATTGTAAATTTCGTCGTGAATTGTCAACACGAGTTGGTGTAATCGGTAAGGCGTGTGGATTACACCACAGAGACCCCGAGTTCGAGTCCCGCCGTAAACATGAAGTTTTTTAGTTGATGGAAGTTTTGTCGAACTTTCTGGAATATTTGAGTGAAAGTAATGAAAAATTAAGGAGCGAGAAGGAGAATAAATAAAAATGAATAACGAAATTATTGGAAGGTTCTGGAGGCATGACGATCAAAAAAGAATAACGAAATTGAATGTTCTAGAACCTGACCGGGGGTATATAAGCGGAACTGCGGCTCACCGCTGGCAGTTGAGTTCTAAGTCTAAAGCGATTCGGAAGAAAAGGAAGAAGTGAAAAAGAAGAAAAGTGAGTGAAATAGTGAAGTGCAGTGAAATAGTGAAGTGCTGTCAGTTAAGTGAAGTTAGCGTGAACGGCAAAGTTGTGTCAGTCGGCCGGACTCTGCTGGAGAGGAACGCCGATAACTTAACTCCGTGGACGCTGTAACTTAAGCGCAATAGAAAGTCTGAAAACCGGTATTAGTGTTTCATTTCATCCAATCCCGTAACCCAAGCCCGCATAGTCAGGAACGTGACGTCAGGCACGTAACAATATTTAAAAGATTTAGTAAGTCTTTCTACTACTTCTTCTTATTTTAAATTCTGTGACGCTATATCTCAAGTTCAGGTACATGAGAGCAAAAAATATAAAAAAACACATTATAATAATACCTAACTATATCAATTTAATACATCCTAAGTTACATCTCAAATTGTCAGTAAACAAATTATGGCTTAGCATTTTCTGTAGTATTATGTTTATGTTTGTCCTCAGCAGTCTGAATATTTCCAGGGTACTCAATCGAAGGTGTAGGAACTAGATTAGCTGCTTGTTGGGCAACTAGTGCTACTTCATAAGCAGCTCTGACACGCGTCGCCAAATCCTCATCAACTAAAAACAAAAGCTTTAAAAGTCTTTGTACCACTGGCGGTGTCACTTGCGCTAGAGGTATGGCAATATTGGAAATAAATCTCAATCTGTGAGCCTCGTCTTTTATGATGTAGTTATAAAAATACCACAATGGTTCCACATCAACAGCATTATTTTCTAAAACTTCTAACTTCTTCCATGGTCTGTGCTCATCCACATATGGCATTGGCCCATTGAATGAATTAGGATAATAGTTGGGAGTGTTCTTCATGTTCAGCTTAGTTGGTGGTCTCCCATCACGTACATAACTCTTCTCGTACAATGGCTGGTTCACTAAAATCTTGTTGTGGTTTCTCCCCAGACGGTAATTTTGTGCGTCCCTATAAAAAGAACGTCTACCTCGGAACAAAAAGTCCACTGGTCCAGGAATACCAGGAACTAAATTTGCAGGATTATATGCTGCTTGTTCGACATCTCTAAATAAGTTTTCAACATTTTTGTTTAACACCAATCGCCCAATTGGCACCGTATGGAATGTGCCATTCTTCCACAGTCTTGTAACATCAAATGGATCATAGTCAACTTTTTGTATATCATGTATCGTCATTACGTCCATCTCTAGTCTCCATGAAGGATACTTTCCTGAATCAATAGCGTTGTACAAATCTCTGTTATAGTAATCGAGATCTACAGCTTGAATGGCGGCTGCTTGAAGAGAAGTAAGTATTGCAATACCCTGCTCAGTACGGAAGTTGAATCTTACATAATGTGTCTCTCCATATCTATTTGAGATTTCGAATGTATGTATAGGAAAAGCATCCATCTTCCGATAGCCGTCCGGTACGCCAAAATCAGACAATACCCAAAAGGCGTTGTGGCCCAAACTAGGCCTAAGTGTTAACAAATCAACTGCGGCTGTATAATCCAGTCTAATGTTACTTTGAGGATTTACCTTAAATGCATGTAATACATCTCTAAGTATCATAGGATCTCTGAACTGAAATACTGGTGTCGATAAACATAAAAGATCCAAGTTTCCTTCCTTAGTATAGAATTTTACCGCCATACCTTTGGGTTCTCTGCCAACATCAGTACCTCCCAAGGGCTGTAATGACGTTGAAAGCCTTACTGCAAGCGGCGTTTTCTTACCTACTCCATTGAACACATCAGCATACGTATACTTGGACACATCGTGCGTGACTTCAAAATAGCCGAAAGCTCCTGTACCCTTGGCGTGAACTATACGTTCAGGTATTCTCTCACCATCTAATGTCGAAATGGTATCAATGAGTAATTGGTTGCTAAATTGATCCGAATTAATTGTTATTGTTTCACGTATGTCAACTGCGTCTCCAGCGTTTTTGGTCCATAATCCTATTGGGTGCTGAAAACAAACAATAAAACAGTTATTTTAGGTAAATTTGTGACAGACCTCATAATGGTAAAAAAAAATATACATACCGGATGATCTTCCTTAAAATCCAATAACTGCCTTTGAACTGGTTGATAGGTAACATTTTCGTATCTTTTCGAATCATCACTTTGTACTTTATGTATTATCAAGCAAAATAGACAAACTACAATCGCCTTCATGATGGAATGAAGCATCATGAGTATTATGAGTATATTCACGAACCGTATTAATAAAGGTTTAGTAAATTATTATAATTGTAGATATATAACTATATTACCAATTATTGAATAATAGATAATTAATTACACGTTACGTACTGTATAGCAGTTATTACTGGGTGCTAAATAAATTTATATCAAATTAGGTGTAATTATAGTGCCAGGTTATTAAAACTTATTTCGTACGGAGTACAGTCTTAGCGGTACACAGAGGGCAGAGCGCAAACAGAGGACGCAGTAGGGCCAGGCGTTATCACCACAACTGGTCGGAGGATAGCCCGTTTCCGATCTTAGGGAATTTCTCTCTTTTTTCCCTTAAAATACGCATGCATGCATGCATGCATGGTGCATGCTCAAAGCAACGATATCCATTTTCCAATTTTAATTCTTGCCTGATGTAATCCAGGCGATCCAGGTTTTCAGAAAGCATTGCTCCCTAGAGTCTTCCAAACGTGTAGTTCCTTTGAAGGCTCATATAAGGCTGATGAATTCAAGATTAGGGTTATTACTTTACAGAGTGTATTAAGAGGGAGACTCTTGTGCAGAAGTATTTTCTGGTAATTGTTGACGATGTAGTGGAAACGAAGTAATGATTTTGTGGAATAATAATCTGTTAGTGCCATTAATATTTTTAAAATACTCGTTATAGGGACTTGTTCTAGTTTACTATGATTACTACAGTAAAACGTCCAACCAATAGAAATCCAATAAAAGTCATGTGAATGCCATCTAATTTTTTTTAAAAGAAGACCTACAACCACCTACAAGTATCAATAATAAGTACTTTGTAACGTATCGTATAAAACTACAAAAACTCCTTTTTTTGTAGTTTTATACGATACGATTTCAATAAATTAAATTATTATACTACTTAACTAATATTTAATTACAATTAAATTATAAACATAACAATAAACAGAATAATTACACACAACATAATAATTGTAATAAATCTAATTCTTAATATTCCAATTCTTCGGTAATTACATTTTAATTAAGAAGTGTAATCAAATAATAGAACGTACAGGACGTTATTTATTATTATTGTGCTTATAAAATAACTGAAATTCGTTGGTTTAAGCCTGCCAAATAAGTCAAGAGAAAATAAAAAAGTCTAGTCGTCGTGAACTGCAGTTTTGGACTTGAACGGCAGCACCACAGCGTTGTGTTTTGCCTCAAAGAGCCAATAGTTTACCACAGACGGGGCGCTATAGGGCTGAAGTTCAGCCGAGGTTGCGGGGCAAGTGCAATGAGGCACCGCGGCCCCGGCCAAGATCAGGAGAAGGAACAGGGTTAAAAGTCAGTAAGAGTCTGACACTCTCTCTCGCCTTACCCTGGGCGGGAGAAGTCATCGGGTTATTTTCCCCTGACAAAAACAGCGTTGTGTTTCGCCATGGGAATGTGGCTGGAGAAATCCTTACCCTCCCCCAATCCCTTATTCCCCAACCCCTAATCCCAATAAAATGGTCATCAACGCACTCGTAACTCTTCTTTATTGGTGGTATCCATGGGTGGCGCTGATTGCTCATCATCAGGTAATCCACCTGCTCGTAAACCGTCGTCCGTTTAGAAAAATTTGGGTGTTTAATTATTTACAAAAACAGGTGAAAATCTTAAATTTTACAAAAATACAAATCACACCCAGAATGGGAACAAAAATTTGTGAATCACACAAAGAGTTGTGTGATTCACAAATTGTTCCGTGCGGAAATCGAAACCGTGACACATTTCGCGACAGCCATTTGCCCAGTCACCGCGCCAACCGAGCAGTCAACCCTGGGTCAGACACATTATTAGTTTTTAAAGTTTATGCTATTTTACATTTTCAAATTGAAATCGTTCTGGTTATCTTTAATTCTGATCATATTTGTAGATCCCTAACTTATTTCATCAAAGTATAGTCATAAATCAATCAAATTTAAAACATATTTTATGATAAAAGGAAATTTAGGTTTCTAAAGTAATCAATTGTATTACCATTAATTCGTAATGATATTGAATTAGTAGGTATTTAGCTTTTCCAGCGAATGCAACTCAATCAAACCTTGAGTAAATTTATTTCTATATACTGCTGCAACAGATTACTCGTTGTATAGAAAGATGTACGAATTGATTCCGTCAGCCGAAATGTACCTACGTCAACCGATTTCTGTTCTTTCTACCAACTAACATATTATAGTTATTTAGTCTTAGTACTTACTAGCTTCCAACCGCGGCCACGCTTGTGTGGTGTGTTGATCAAAAGAAGTCTATCCCCTAATCCGGAGTTTACCTTTAACTGGAACTGGAACTAACGTTCTCACGTCATTCATAAACCAGACGCAAGCGAATGGGGTCGTTGCAGCCAAAACCCTTCAGGCCACCTGAAAAGCGGAGGTTACCTAGAAGCAGGTTCAGAACAGGAGTGGTGTTTCGTCAGACAGGCTCTTCTTTTCGTTAATGGTCCACAGTTTCACAAATGAGATTCTGGCAGCGATTGATGTGGCAGCGAAGGTATTATGATGTGGATATTCAATAACAATTTGAACTACCGAAGTGTCAGACTAACCTGATCAATATCTTCCTTTGGTTCCTTATGAGCACTTAAATAGAAACCAAGAGTATCAAATTGCGATCACAGGAATACAGATTATTATTTAATTTTATGGTATTAAAGCAGCTGTGAGTACCTATTTGTTAATGTTAAAAACATTGTAATGTATCAAATTAAAAACTTGGTAAAACAATATCAAACACGGCAAAAAAGCATGATCCATCTTGGTCATGATTTATACCTATACTTATCGCAAGGAACAGAATTTTACTACACTACTCACTTGTGTGTGGGAGAACCATGCTTCGGCACGAATGGGTCGGCTCGGCCGGAGTGATACCACGGCCTCACAGAAAACCGGCGTGAAATAACCACAACGTTGTGTTTCGCTGTGTGATTGAGGTTACCGGAGGCCCAATCCTTCCCCTATCCCAATCCCTTCCCAATCCCTAAATCTCCAAATCCTTAATCCCCAAAAGGTAGGCAACGCACTCGTAATTCCTCCGTTGCGGGTGTCCATGGGCGGCGCTGATTGCTTACCATCAGGTAACCCGTCTGCTCGTTTGCCGACCAATTACATAAAAAAACCATATAAAATGAAAGTGGAATTCTAAAATCTCACATTTATAAATACCCAAGTACCTACATACTTAGTTTGTAGTCTCGCCTTTATCAGTCAAATTTACCTTAATAACAATAGGCTTTACTGGAATTATGCATATAAATGAATGATAAACCAAATGTCTATATTAAAATAATATTGCCAGAGATCCAGAAAAATTAAACAAAATAGATGAGTTGGAAGATCTTTCTTTGCTGTACTGGTAAGTAGATCTCGCTTAAGGTAATCAGTTCATTATCAACTAAAATTCTAAACCGGAATCATAATTTTATGATAGTTGAAGAATATTTACGAAGGTTGCGGGTCGGGCAAAATAGCACAGATATGGTATCGACCTGGAGCTCAAGCTTAAACAGTCATATAAGCCAGATAAGACCCTTCAAAAAATATACCTACATACTTATAAAATAACTACTAAATACCCACTGTTACAACCTGCAGCCCTGGCCCATGATGTAACTAAGGATATAGTTATTAGTGAGTACTATAAATCCAGACTCCTTGCTATTAATAAAACCTTCAATAATTAGATTAGTCTCGTTGATCGAGTTACCACTCAGTCATTATATCAAAGTCAAAATCAAAATCATTTATTCAAACTAAGCCATAAACAGGTACTTTTGAAACGCCAAAACAGAATAACAGTCCGAAGAATAATCTGTATGTAGTCATATAATTAACTGCCTAAACGTTTTTTGGGCTAACTATACGATAAACAAAACTAATATTGAATTTCAAACGCCTAAAGCAATGTCCATAGCAACACTTCTATGACCGATACGTTGAAGCTAATTCATCACTGACATTGTAATCGATCGTGATTGATTGGATCTGTAAAATACGCATACTGTTATTGCACACAAGGTTTTACTCGCGAAGGTTATTTCCTATGCTTACCGGAGATAGTGAAGCTTCCCAGCAGTGAAATAATTTTTCACATCGATCAAGTAGTTTCAGAGCCTATTGAATTCAACCAAACAAACAAATCTTTCCTGTTTATAACATTTGCATATATACTGTTGTTTTATATCTTTTTAATTATAGGATAGGCTTGAAAACGAGCAGACGGACCACCTGATGGTAAGCAATCAGTGCCGTCCATGGAAACAACGGCAATACTAGATGAGGTGCAAGGATAGCGTTTCAATCTAGTTCTTCTCTATTTGCATCTACACTATCGACCGAGCACCTATCTTCACTTCGCCTCTCACGAAGAATCTGTTTAACTATTATTCTATTTAGACGGTTTCAAAGGACCTCAATATAGCTTAAATGAAATAAATAGTTTTGACTGAACTGAACTCGGTTTAAAGTCGACAATTTTCGGAATGAAAGATTAGATGTAAAAATTCTTGTTAGTCATAAGAAATGGTCTGGTTTAGCCAATCGTTGAATTGGTAACTGAAATGAAATAATGTCTAAGAAACTCCTAAAAACTTTTAAAAGTGTTTTAACAAATATCAGTTACTCCTCAGTAAATAATATATCGTGTGTCGTTAATTTTATATCACCTGTGACCTAAACAATCGATGTCTCGGGATTCTATTTCAGGAACAGTATTCGATGAACCGTTAAGTGACTTTGTGGCTTCAGTCATAAGATTGAAATTTCAATGGAAACCTATATGCATAGTGACCCGAGTTGGATCGTGAGCAGAATATGTAGGTCAGACGGGACGCTGTCTCACTCCAATACTTTTTATTGATGAAACTCCTGAATTGGGTAATTGGTACTGCTCTTTATAAACATTGGCTTAAAAGGTCGATCACCTACTACAAAAGGGTGAAACGTTCCGATTGAAGAATTGTATTCTTCAATAGGTAACAAATTGTATAATGCCATTCCTCCAGCTACCTTTTTGGTGAATCAAATACCTACTATCACTACATAGTATAAAACAAAATCGCGTTCTCTATCCCTTTATCCCTATGTATGCTTAAATCTTTAAAACTACGCAACGGTGCAGTTTTTTTACGGTTCGGAACGGTTAAAGTCATATATTTTATGTATACCAACATCCATCAAATGGTGGGTCGCGAGTTTACTTATTAAATTTCCTGTAGACGTAAAATGGTAATCAAAACCAACCTGATCTCGACCAAGGAGACAGTCAATGATAAAATATATGTATTCACTAAAAAAATTGTTATACATACAATTTATACACTGTATGAAAGATGAAAATTGCCAAAGCGCAATGGTGGATTCATAGGATATACTTAATCACCTATTTAAAATTGAGTCATATTTAAATATTGCTCTTCATAAACATGCAATACACAGTAATAAGTAGCAAAGTGTAATTACGTTCTTGTTATCAAGATAATGTAAAATTTCTTTTATTTTTTATTTCTTAGTAAGAGAGAGTCCAAAAATGTAGATTAGAATTATTTTTATTAGATTTATTTTAATTAGAATTATTTATTAGCCACAGTAATTTTGTTAATGCTGTCCCAAATATAGGTAGATTTTATAATTTTGAGAACAATTAAATATAACCAACTAGTATCCCGTCCCTGCTTCGACGATGCACGAGTATCCAACTGTAGCAGTGTCAATAATTTGTTTTAAATGAATAACCACCGTTTATGAAAAGAGTTGCTATTTCTCTATTTTCCCATTCTACTTTTATTATTACAATTTTCTTTTAAAATACCCTAAGGTTGACGAGTTTTGCCGAAATCAAAATTAGCGATTCATTTCTGAAATTATAAATGGATATTTACTTTGTAAACACTTCCCATATTGTCATTTTTAGGAGGTCCCTCTGAAGTTAAAAGGTTTCTTTTGGGTTTCGTTGTAGCAGAAGCTGTTTTGGCTGCTGCCTGCTGGGCCATCGCTTGTGCAAGCAATGTTTCATATGCAGCCTTTACACGCTTACCCAAATCATTATCAATCAAGTGCCACAGTTTCAGAACTCTTTGCAATACGGGTGGTGTAACAAATACGAGAGAAGCGCCTAAGTTATTTATAAACCTCTGTCTGTGAGCCTCATCTTCTAGAATAAAGTTATAGAAATACCACGCTGGTTCCAAATCAACGGCATTACTTTCCAGCACTTTTAACTTCTTCCACGGTCGCTGTTCATCAACGTATGGGAGTGGGCCATGGAATGAATTAGGAAAATAATTTGGGGCATTTTTCATGTTCAGTCTCGTTGGTGGTTTCCCATCACGTACGTAAGTCTTCTCGTACAATGGCATGTTTACTAAAATATTGTTGTGGTTTCTACCCAAACGATGATTTTGTGTGTCTCTATAGAACATTCGTCTACCACTAAACAAATATTCCGGTGATCCCGTAATACCAGGTACCAAATTACCAGGATTAAATGCTGCTTGTTCAACATCCTTGAAATTATTTTCAACATTTTTGTTTAATACCAATCGCCCAATTGGGACAGTGATGAATGTTCCATTCTTCCATAATCTGGTAACATCAAACGGATCGTAGTCAACTTTTTGTATGTCGTGTTCGGTCATCACATCCATCTCTAGTTTCCATGCAGGATATTCTCCTGAATCAATTGCGTTGTATAAATCTCTATGAAAATATTCCGGGTCTTGAGCTTGAATGGCAGCGGCTTGTGCACTTGTAAGTGTCTCAATGCCTTGCTCGGTTCTAAAGTTGAATCTCACATAATGTGTCTCCCCATGCTTATTTGAAAGTTCATAAGTATGAATGGGGAAAGCATCCATCCGCCTGTAGCCATCCGGAATGCCGAAATCAGACATTATCCAAAAGAAACCATGAACGATTGCGGGTCTTAATGTTATAAAATCATAGGTACTAGTTGGATTAAACAATGTTGTTTGAGGATTCCTACTGAATGAATGTAACAAATGTTTAAAATACATTGGATCCCTATAAAAATAAACGGGTATAGATAGACATGTTAGATCTAAGTTTCCCTCTTTGGTATAAAACTTTATTGATAAACCCCTGTGTTCTCTGGGAAGATCAGTACCTCCCACACCCTGTAACGCATTTGAAAACCTAACTACTACCGGTGTCTTTTTCCCCACTCCATTGAACACATCGGCATATGTATACTTGGAGACATCATGCGTCACTTCGAAGTAACCAAAAGCTCCAATACCCCTGGCATGCACCACGCGTTCTGGTATTCTTTCACCATCAAAAGTAGAGAAAGTGTCTATAAACAGCTGGTTGTCAAATTGATCAGAGTTAATTGTTACTGTGTCACGAATGTCTACTGGATCTCCGGCATTTTTAGTCCACAATCCAATCGGGCGCTGAAAACCACAATAAAAATACATTATTGATATTATTGTTTTGTGCAAGACTTAAAGCAGCTTCCCTAAATAACATACATACTGATTTAAAATCAAAATAATGTTTCAAAACATTAGGACTATAACGCTTAAGTCCTGCTTGCCGTATGAGTGAGATGACCGAAGGTCCAATTCTTCCCCTCTCCCCACCCTCAATCCCCAAACCTTCTATTATCCCTAGTAACTTACAAAAAGCCTGTAACGACTGTCAATGGTGCCAATTGCTTACCTTCAGGTAACCCTCGTTTGCCGACTTATCACATAAAAAAGTAAAAGTTTTCTAATTAAATTGATATTCGTTTATAAAACACAAGGAAAACAAAATATGTAGAAGTACTTACTTACAGGATTCTCCTTTTTAAAATCCAACAACTGTCTATGAACGGGTCCATATGTGACATTAACATATTCGTGATCATCACTTTCTACAAGTAATATTACACAACACAGCCAAACTACATTCGCCTTCAAAATATTCATTATGATTTGAACACTCATAAAGTATGCAGCTTGCTTATATAGACGATGTGTAATTACGGATAATCGTTAACAGAACATTTATAATACCTAATTACGCTAAACAAAAATCATTGTCTTCACTCCGTTTTTCTGCATTATTTGACATTGAACCGTTGTTTATACGATTAGTACTACAATACTGTTGCACTATAATAAATCAGTATCTATTCTTTTATACTTTTAATTGCAGATCTCCAATGTAAATGATATGCAATATTTTTTTTAAATAGTTCGTGTATTTGTTTCGCGTTGGCATTGAATTTTAACTAGATTTTGTTATTATTCATTTCTGACTACTGCACTTAATAAGACTATGGTTTTGTTATGCAATGTATGTATTACTTCAGTAACACACATCTGCGTGAATAATCTTAGTCAGTCGGTTGTTTTCTTTTCCTACTGTGTAAGGTATATTAATTTTTAGTCAGAAACAGATTGATTTCCCGGCTCGCCTCACAATGGGGGAGAGAAGGAATGTAAGGATTTTCCCCCCACAAACAGCATGTTGTAAGACTGCTATGAACAGGGTTTTTATTGTTGGTGGAAAATCATCAAATGATTTTCCCCGTTCCTTTTCAAGGCCAAGGTCGCGGTGCTTTATTGTGCTTGCTGTGCAAAAACGGCTGAACATCAGCCCTATAGGGCCCCGTCTGTGGTGGTCTATTGGTTCTTTGAGGCCCACGTGGAGGTATCTTTGAAATCGCTAATCCGCCTTAAACAAGTGTGGTGATTAATTAATGCTCAAACCGTCTCCGTGTAATACGAGTAAGAGACCTCTGCTTAGCGGTAGGCATTTGTAGGTGGATGTTGTGTGTGGCATGAGAAGGTATTGCTAAATAGTACAAAAAAAAATACTATTTGACCTTGGCTCAATAAGCACTTAGCTTAGATACTTAGTACGATACGAGAACTATCATCAAGATAAACACCTAAAATCAATGTTGTCAAAAATATAAGTAAAAGATATCAAGCGAAAATTATATTTATGACTAACACAATAGGTGCTTTATTGGCAGAAACCACTTATTCCTCGATAATGCGGATACCGTTAATTTTATATCACCTGTGACCTGAACAATCGATGTCGAATGTCTCGGGTTTCTATTTCAGGAACACTATTTGGCGGATCGTAAAGTGACTTTGTCGTTTCAGATATAAGGTTGAAATTTAAGTGAAAATCTTCATACATATTGACCTGGGATCGTGAGCAGAAATAGGTCAGGCGGGGACGCTGTCTCACTCCAATACTTTTTAATTGATATGTACATTAATAACTAGACATAATCTTGGTTTAACCTGTGGAATGCCATTAGGTACAAACTAGTTTTAATTAAGGAACATTTTATCAAAGCACAACTTTAAAAAAGGCTCGAACACAGGCGCAAATTTGCGAGCTCGGTCAAGTCGTTTTTTTATCGGATACTAGCTACTCCCGCGCGGTTTCACTCGCTGCTCGGCTCCATTTGATTGTAGTGTGATGTTTTATAGCCTATATCACCTGGGAACATTGTAGCTATCAACTAGTGAAATAATTTTGAAAATCCGACCAATGGTTCCAAAGATTACACTCTACATACAAGCTTACAAGTTTTACCTCTTTATAATATTAGTATAGATTTTTCAGATAATGTTCGAGGGCTTCACGGACACGCCCTGATTCCCTCCTAGTCCTTTCCACCATCCTACCACCAGACAATCGGCCAAACGTCATCGCTTCAAGGTGGATATTCCACCCGCACGCACGAAGCGTTTCGCGCCCCCTGTTTTATAATCAGAAACTAGGTTAGAACTAGTGTTCTTCAAAGGGTATACCTGAAAATACTGTGAAAAATACATTGCTTATGTGAAGGCGTCCTCCATTTTTGACTGCACGGTTAGCACGGTGGCTGGGCAACTGGCTGCCGTACGACATGTCGCGGGTTTGATTCCTACACGGAACAACTCTTTGTGTAATCCACAGAGGTTGATTAGGTGAAACATACATTTTAATTTATTATATCAAGACTTAAATATAGGCGATATCAAACTTCGTGTCGCCGGAAACGTCCTGGGAAGCCATCTCTTTTTTCTGCAAAGCAGAAGGAAGGAAGGTGATCTGCTCCTTTACTTTTTATTCCATAAATAATCTGAAATAATGTATTAAGAGCTATCATCATTATGTCAGGCACCACTTTTAATATATGTCAGCAAAGAAGTAGACAGCGCCGCCCATGAACGCCCGCAACACCAAACGAGTAATGCACTCGTTTAATGCCGGCTTTTTGGGGATTTTCAAGAAAGAGTACGCACATTTCTTGAAAGTTAGAAGAAGGTCGTATCGATCAGATCAGATTATTAGTAAGAAAATATAAAATCGAATGCTTTAATATTATAAGCTATATGTATTCCGTAACGGATTATTACTCAAGTATATGATTCAAAGTCAAAGTCAAAGTCAAAATCATTTATTTCAATTATATTTTCGTATAGGTATATTATCCTGTGGAGCAGGACCAGCGCGTCTCCAAGCATCCTTATCCTCAATATAATCACTCAGTTTGTAATATGCTTTTTTTATACAAAGTTTTCTATACACATAATTTAAAATTTCTTTTATTTAATTGTTGATTATTTATCGAAGAACTTTAATGTCACCTAACGCGGGTATATGATAAATAGTTTTTTCATGACTTTAACAATAAAAGGTGTATTCAGTACCTATGCCTTAATTTTTCTCGGATTTTAGTACAAACTAGATTCTGCCAGCGGCTACGCCTACTGCTGTGTTGATAAAAAGCAACCTATAGCAATAGAACAAATTCGAAGTATACATAAAATTCGTTATTAATTGTCTCATTTTTATGGGAACATCTCTAATGGGTAAATACCCTATTACTTACTAAGTCTCCGCTTTCCCTCCGTCCATAGATAGAATGGTACGGACCTAACTAATAGGAAAATATTACAAATATTTCATAAAACCTATTATAATTATTATATTTTAAACCGCGTCGCGTCGAGCGCGGCAACTGTTACACAAAAATAATCCTTATATATGATTCAGTGTATGCGACGGTGCGATGGCTTATTATCCTGACTGCTAAGCTATCAGGAGTTACACGTGCTGTTATGAGTTAACCATAAAAGATTGACATATGCTGTAAAACAATTTTGCAATTCGTGATTTAATGTAAAATATTTCCGTCATACATAATTTCTATGTACCTTTTTAGCCATAAAGGCTACACGCGACGGAAACTTAAAAAACGGAGTAACTATTCCCGTTTTCCCAACATTTCCCTTCACTGCTTTGCTACTATTATTTGTAGCGTAATGAAAATATCCTATAACCTGCTCAGAAGTATAAAGAATAATTGTACCAAGTTTTGTTAAAATCCGTCGAGTACCTAGTTTGTGTTTCTATAAGGAACATACAGACAGAACGACAGACTGACAGACAGACAAAAATTTTACTGATTGCATTTTTGGCATCAGTATCGATTACGTGGTACCTCTGGTAGTTATTTTGAAAATATATTTAATGTATAGAATTGACCTCTCTACAGATTAATTATAAGTATAGATTATTAATATTATATTAAAAATAAGTAAACCTTCTTTTTGAAATAAAAAAAACAAGTATTGTATTGATTATTTGTAATTTTATTATTATTATAATAAAAGCATATTGCGAAGAAATGTTTCTGTTCCGTAGTTTCGGAACGTTTCCCTTAATTGGTCAGCAGCATAAAAATTTAATAGTTCTCAACGTGAACACATTTTTTATTGGTAATGTGTTGTATAAAGGACTGGAGTATTAAGTATCTATTCAATGAATAACAATCAAGGTGTTAAAGAAGTGAGTATTAGAAGTTGATTAGTTAGACCGTAAAAATATAGTAAATAATCATATTCTGAGTAGTATATACATTTAATTTTTTTTTGTAATCTTTACCAAGATTTTTTTTAAGTTTACAACTGAACGATTCACAAGATAGTAAATTGTAACGAATTTAATTCTTTCATACAATATTGGGTATACAAGCCAAACATGCCTAAGTCTGCTTTATCATATGGATACAGAAAATATTTGAAGTTCTTTATATCTCATTTAACATTTTCTTGTATTCGCTGATGATTTCTGCGGTTCTTGTACAGGATGTCCTACTGCAGATGGAACTCTTCGTAAAGACATAGTATCAGAAGTGGCGGCATTAGCCGCTGCTTGCTGCGCAGCAATAGCTACCTCATATCCAGCTTTCACTCGCTCACTCAAATCCTTGTCGACCAAATGTAGAAGTTGCATAACTCTCTGAACCACAGGAGGAGTAACAGGCACAAGAGTCAAGACAACATTACTGATAAACCTCAGCTTGTGAGCTTCGTCTTCCAGAATATAATTGTAGAAGTACCACATCGGTTCTAAATCTACAGCATTACTTTGCAAAACTTGCAACTTCTTCAACGGTCTGTGCTCATCCACATATGGGACAGGTCCATGGAATGAATTAGGATAATAGTTCGGAGCGTTTTTCATGTTAAGCCTAATCGGTGGCCTCCCATCACGAACATACGTCTTCGAGTGCAATGGCATGTTTACTAAAATTTTTTCGTTGTTTCTTCCCAGGCGGTAATTTTGTGCGTCTTTATAGACCATTCTTCTACCACGGAACAAATAGTCGATAGGCCCAGGAATACCAGGCACTAAATTACCAGGATTAAAGGACACTTGTTCCATATCTCTAAAGTGATTTTCAACGTTTCTATTTAATACCAAACGCCCAATTGGCACCGTGTGAAATGTGCCATTCTTCCACATTTTTGTAACATCAAAAGGATCATAATGAACTTTTTTTAAGTCATGTATCGACATCACATCCATTTCAAGTGTCCACGAAGGATATTTTCCTGAGTCAATAGAGTTGTACAAATCTCGAGTATAGTAATCCAAATCAAGAGCTTGAATGGCGGCTGCTTGGGCGGTTGTGAGGTATGAGAAACCCAAGTCAGTTCTGAAGTTAAATCGCACGTAGTGTGTCTCTCCATGCCTATTTGAAAGTTCGTAAGTGTGAATGGGGAAAGTGTCCATCCTCCTGTAGTTTTCCGGAATACCATAATCAGACATTAACCAAAAGAGAGCGTGGCCAAAGCTAGGTCTTAGTGTTGTTAAATCATAAACACTTGTGAAATCGTACATATTAGTTTGAGGATTTCTCATAAAAGCATGATTCATGTCCCTTGTCAACATCGGATCTCTAAATGCAAAAATTGGTATTGAAAGAGCAAGGATATCTAAGTTTCCTTCGTCAGTGTAAAATTTAACTGCCATCGTTTTTATTTCTCTCGCTACTTCAGAGCCACCTTTGTTTTGAAATGCTGTTGCGAACCTGACCACTACAGGTGTTTTCTTGCCCACACCATTAAAAACATCAGCGTATGTATACTTTGAGATATCTCTTGTAACTTCGAAGTAACCGAAGGCTCCTGTACCTTTGGCAGTAACCACTCGCTCTGGTATTCGCTCGCTAAATGCTGTCGTAATTGTGTCAATCAGCAATTGGTTGTCGAATTGATCAGTGTTAATCGTTATTGTGTCACGTATGTCAACTGGATCTCCGGAATTTTTAGTCCATAATCCTATCGTGTGCTGAAAGCAAAAAATATAAATCACAATAAAATCTAAAATACTGTGAATGGTACAAAGAAGCAATTAAGTATAACTGTCGTAGCTGCACAGTATAGGCTTCCAATTGTATTGTTTAGGGTTTTTATATGAATAATATTTATAAGGAAAGATATTTTGAGAATTTAAATCTTGTCTTTAGAAAATTAAAATGATATGGTTTGTCTTGTGCGACCTGTCTCTACTTCACAACGTTGCCGATCACATTGAAAAATTTGGTCAATCCAGCGGCTGTCACATTGCTTGTTGGGTAATTTACCTATATTTTCATTGGCCATGCCACTAAAGGTTAAAAGACTGTTTATGTTAATCATAGACAAAAAAAAAAAATTCACCTGTGGATATTTTGAAACATCACTAAGTAAAAGTCGGATTGTCAACAGTAACACCAAAAAGTATGAGGCGGAGACATTCTAGGTATCTATTAATTACCCCACACTAAGATTTGGGTATTATAACTACATAGGACAATACATTATTACTTACTGGATGGTGCTTCTTAAAGTCCAATAATTGCCTTTGAACAGGTTCGTACGTGACATTATAATATTCATTGCTTTTCACGAGAACTATCACATAAGACAAACAAGTTATGATCGCCTTCATGATGGATTGCAATCTTGTGAAATATTACTACAGAACCGGATTATATACAAAGCAAATCAATAATAAAAACTCTTTACTAAATAATAAATGAACAAAATTAAATTATATTACCTACTCCTATATCCTATATTAGAATCAGATGTACAGTATGATGCATTCAAAATAATGTCTTGAGTGAATTTGTTTTGAGATCATGTGGTTTTGTTCATTTATCTCAAGAGAAACTATTAATCAAAATAATGCAAGTTTAAACCTAGACGGAAGATAAATCTTGTTTTGTAATAAGGGGGGGGGGGGGGGGTTAGAAAAATATGAGACACTAGAGGGGTAGAGGTATAATTGATTAGCCTCTCCATGTGTGTGTGCAAATGCAAGAAAACAGAGAACACACCTGTTTTTATCACGATTCCGTCACTGTTTTGGAAATCATTAAGATATTTATTCTTCTCCATCGGAGCTATTTGAGTGACTGGACAAATAAAACGATTAAGGAAGGCCATCTATGCACCAAGCTTTAAGTTTCTTATGATAATTTTAAACATAAACCTCTAGCAGTACGTTATTTTTTCGAACACTGCACAATAATTTAACACAATAATTTAATAATTTCGCTGGCTTCGCTGTCACTTCGCAAGCCATTAAGTCCGTGTAAGTATTTTGAAAAATGTTTTTTTTCTTATAATTAATAATTATTCCACCGAATAACATAATAAAGTATTGTTGTTTGTATTGTAGTAGAATCCATTATATCTGCGTCAATTTTTTTATGGTAAAGGTCCTTAAAATAGCAAGCGGATTACCTGATGGTAAGCTAAATGTGGGATAGGGGTAACGGTTTTGGATATTTAAGGATTGGGAAAGGATAGGGGAGGGGAAGTAATTGGGCCTCCGGTAACCTTACTCCCACGGCGAAACACAACGGTGTGGTTGTTTCACGCCGGTTTTCTGTGAGGCCGTGGTATCACTAAAGTCGAGCCGTCCCATTAATGCCAAAGCTTGGCTCTCCCACACTTAAACGCTATCATCATTACCATCTTATCTGCCACAGAATGCTTACTTCTAAACAGAGTCATCTCCAATGCCAACCAGAAAAGCCAGTTGGAGGCGAAATTATTCCAGCCGTCACTGCAAACTAAATTTTTAACCTAAACACCCTGTACATTGTTACATAAAAATAGTGCAGGTAGATATAAATTTATCAATTTCACAAAGTTGCATTGACCTGAAAAAAAAATTATTGTTTGTGTAAATCCTTGTTTTATTTGTAATAAATCAATTGAAGTAATTATAGAAATAGTAACTAATTAATAATGTTTTACAGAAACATAATATAACATTGTTTAATTGTAATTAACATCCATTACACCTCGGACAGGGCGTCTAGCAGTCAGAAGTGATAGTACCTACGTTGATATTTTATAATTGTCTCGAACAGTTTTCCCACCTCAACTAGCAGCACGATGGACCAGTACGCGGACTGAAAGTCCGCTGGATTTGGCATCTTCACGAAACCAAGTTAACCCGTTTTCACCGATAATGGAAACAGAGAGCCTTCGAGGACAGAACCCAAGCCTTAGCATACAATCCATCAGATCCTGAGGCGGTATTCTTGGGGCTCAGTCGGCGCACCGCTGTTCTCAAATCTACCTCGGTGACATCTAGAGTCGTCGTCGTCGTTGTAGCGGAGTCATGGTCGGAGGCGTGTATTCCCTCTGCAATTAGGGGAATAGGGCCTGAACCTCTTCGTCCACGACCTATGCGTCCCTGCACTCCCAGGGTTGGTGAATTTATTTAATGACTTTTGATGAATGGTTTCCTCACTATATTGTCCTTTACCTACCTTCCTTTAAACTAAATAATCTTAGGAAATACAAGTTTTCTGAATATCCGGCGGGTATCGCCGAAACATTCGTCGTATCCCCCCGACGGGTTTTGCCCACCAGATAGTCAGAAACGTCACGAAAGAATTTAATAGTTTGGTTCTCTTAGTACATACTAGCTTAATACATATTTTACCTACAAATTCATACGCTTAAAATTTTGAATCAAACATCTGTATGTTTTTATATTGTTTAGAATGAAAGGCCAATAAAACAAATTCATAACTAGTAGATAAATAGCATTTAATTTGGTGTAAAAAATACAAAAGAAAATATTAAAAAAACACAAACTATTTCTAGATGACAGTTGTGCTAAGAAAAAGAACCGCCACGGATCTCCATAGCTGCTCTTGTTAACATTATTTATATTAAAACGCGTAATACGCTGCTTAGAAGTGAGGGAAGAAAATAGATAAGAAAGAAGGAAACTAAAGGATTTCAGCAAAACCTGATAAAATTCTTGATTGTCTATCGGTAGAAGGTTTGTAAATAAATGATCTGAACTAATGGCCTTTAAAAAACCGGGTAATTATTAGGAATGAGCGTACTGCGTAGTCTCATAAAGCTGGGTTTGATTGCACGGCTTCGGATTTGTAAGGTACGTTCAAACGTCGAAAATTCAAATCACTTTGGTTCATGTTTCACATGAGTCTCCGCAGATGGAACTCTTCGGAAAGACATAGTTTTAGGAGGGGCAGCTATACGTTCTGCTTGCTGGGTTGCAACTGCTACTTCATAAGCAGCCTTTACTCGCTCACCCAAACTTTTGTCCACCAAGAATAGTAGTTTTAGAGTTCTCTGAATAACTGGCGGAGTGACAGGTACAAGAGACAAGACAATGTTATCAATAAACCTCTGCTTTTGAGCTTCGTCTTCCAGAATATAATTGTAGAAATACCACATTGGTTCCAAATCTACAGCATTACTTTGCAAAACTTGCAACTTTTTCAACGGTCTGTGCTCATCCACATATGGAACAGGTCCATGGAATGAATTAGGATAATAGTTTGGAGCGTTTTTCATGTTAAGCCTAACCGGTGGCCTCCCATCACGTACATACGTCTTCGAGTGCAATGGCATGTTTACAAAAATTTTTTCGTTGTTTCTTCCCAGGCGGTAATTTTGTGCGTCTTTATAGACCATTCTTCTACTACGGAATAAAATGTCCACTGGCCCAGGAATACCAGGCACTAAATTAGCAGGATTAAATGCCACTTGTTCCAAATCTTTGAAGTAATTTTCAACGTTCCTATTTAATACCAACCGCCCAATTGGAACCGTGTGGAATGTACCGTTCTTCCAAAGCCTTGTAACATCGAAAGGATCGTAATGGACCTTTTCTAAGTCATTTATCGTCATCACATCCATTTCAAGTGTCCACGAAGGATATTTTCCCGAGTCAATAGCGTTGTACAAATCTCGTGTATAGTAATCCAAATCAAGAGCTTGAATGGCGGCTGCTTGGGCGGTTGTGAGGTATGAGAAACCCAAGTCAGTTCTGAAGTTAAATCGCACGTAGTGTGTCTCTCCATGCTTATTTGAAAGTTCGTAAGTGTGAACGGGGAAAGTGTCCATCCTCCTGTAGTTTTCCGGAATACCATAATCAGACATTATCCAAAAGAGAGAGTGGCCAAAGTTAGGTTTTAGTGTTGATATATCATAAACACTTGTGAAATCGTACAGATTAGTTTGAGGATTTCTCATAAAAGCATGGACTATGTCCCTTAACAACATGGGTTCTCTGAATGCAAAAATAGGTATTGAAAGAGCAAGGATATCTAAGTTTCCTTGTTTAGTGTAAAATTTCACTGCCATAGTTTTTAAGTCTCTGGCTAGTTCAGAACCGCCTTTGTTTTGGAATGCTGTTGCAAACCTGACAACAACCGGAGTTTTCTTGCCCACACCATTAAAAACGTCAGCATAAGTATATTTTGAGATATCCTTTGTTACTTCAAAATAGCCAAAGGCTCCTGTACCTTTGGCGGTAACCACACGCTCTGGTATTCTTTCGCCAACTGTTGTCGTGAATGTATCAATAAATAATTGGTTGCTAAATTGGTCGGAGTTAATTGTTATTGTGTCACGTATGTCAACTGGATCTCCGTTATTTTTAGTCCATATTCCTATCGGGTACTGGAAACAATAAATAAGGGCAAATTAAAATAACTAGTATTTTGTACTACAAAGGTAATTAAATGAAAGTAGTTGATTTATACATTTAAGACTGATTTCCGAATAACGAATCATTCCAAAAATCATTCTAAATTACAAGTTCTCAAAAGCACATTCAAATTTTTAACCAAATTGACTCAGACATTTCTGTGTGAAAGAATAACAAACATACATCCAAACAAATTTTCATATTTATAATATTTGTAGGATAGCATTTTTCTTCTACTAGGTACACATTAAACTTAGAAAATAATGGCCTAATCATGGAGTGCAAAAATACATGTACCTTTTTTTATATGACGTTACTAAAGTTTAGGCTTTGCTATTTCCTTTGGCCACGGCGTTAAGTGATAACGCCATGGCCAAAGGATATAGCAAAGCCTAAACTTTACGACGGGCTGATTTTTACTTCATGGTCGGTACTGTATCTGTCCAATTACCGCACATAACAACTGTTTATGGCATTAACAAATTCTTTTTCGGTGTCAAGGTGTGATTTGTGAAAATTCTGTGTAAGGCAACATAGGAAAAAAGTTTTCTCACCTGATGTTCTTCCTTAAAGTCCAATAATTGACGTTGAGCGGGTTCGTACGTAACATTAAGGTATTCATCACTTTTCACGACCATTAACACATAAAACAAACAGGCTACGATCGCCTTCATGGTGGATTGAATATCTTGTGGAATATCACTTTAAAACCTGCTTATATACCCAGTTGGAAGGAACCTTAGAAAAATATATTTTAACTAATTAACAGATATATCCTATAAGTGACTGTACAGGGTGTTGATTATACTGCATTGACTACAGAGCAAATTTATCCGTAGAAGGCGTAACTAGTAAAAAACGGTTTAAAATATAATTCATCTAAATATTTAATAGATCCTTATATTGTCATCGGATCTATTGGATTTCCTGGGTATTCTGTCATACAAACAATATACATATATGGTATGTATGAGGACTTTATCCAATGAGGATTATCAAAATCAATAAAATTATAAGTTAAAAATATTAATAGTTTTAAAAAAATGGCCACACCTCAAATGCACTGCTTGTCTTCTTTCACCAGGAACACTTTCTTGCTCAAGTACTTATTCCCAACGTATACTATAGCTGCAGGTTTTTTTACATTAATTAATAAAGTATTAAAATTAAGCCATTACACCAGAATGATGCAATACATCTATTTATTTCTTCTTCAATATTTGCTGGACACCCTGTACATTTATATAATATAAATTATAAAATGAATTTTCACAATGTTGCATTGACCTGAAAAAAAATGAACTATTGCTTTTAATTATTTAAAACAATAAATTATTTTGCTTCAGTAGTAGCAGAATATTAATACAAACATTAGAATTGATGATTAATATTAATTATTACTCACTAAAAACCAACAGTCCCTCACTCTTGATATGGAGCCAATCCAGTGTGTACAACAGTTTGCTTACCTGGGAAGCATTGTGTCGAAGGAGGGAGGAGCGGAAGAGGACTCTGCCGCTAGAGTGACCAAAGCACAGGCGACCTTTGCACAACTTCGACCCATATGGCGATCAAAGAAGCTGACTCGTAGAGTCAAGCTTAAAATCTTCCGATCTAACGTCAAGTCCGTCTTACTCTATGGGTGCGAAACGTGGAAGGTAACAAAGGATATCACTCACTTAATCCAGGTCTTCGTCAACCGCTGCCTTCGGCAGATACTTGGCATTTTCTGGCCAGAGAAGATCTCGAACGAACGCTTGTGGGAGGCGTGCCGGGAAATGCCAATAGATAAGCAAATTACACGCCGAAAGTGGTCATGGATAGGGCACACCCTCAGGAGAGGTCCCACACACATACCAAGACAAGCTCTAGAGTGGACACCACAAGGCAGGCGAAAAGTTGGCCGTCCTAAGCAAACGTGGCGGCGCACAGTGGCGGCGGAAATAAGGAGGATAGGACTGTCCTGGTCCGAAATTAAGCACATAGCCCAAGATAGGTCCAAATGGAAAAATACTGTGGAAGCCCTCTGCCCCACCAGGGGATATAGGAACTTAATAATTACTCACATAAGCCATTTTATTATAACAGACTATAACTTGTCTCTATGCGAATGCTTATTCTATAAACTTACACACATCTTTCCAAAGTTTTGCATTTTGCATTTATATTTATAGTAGGAAATAGAATAACATTGTAAAGTTTTCAAATTACAATCTTCGGTATCAGTGGTCGAAACCACATTAACCATGTGTATGATGCGATAATATTACATAACATATAGCTTAGCGTAAGGATATACTAAATGACAACGGGACTCTTATTCATAAGAGTGGCGAAGCCGTCGGCTGATTTGATTTGATTTGATTAAATTTTGTATTTTTTGTGTATTGTCATTAATTTGACGTGGAATAGTCGTGCGAGGCAGTTCTGGTTAATACACATTGATTTATTAGGCCACTGCAATACTTACATATTAATTTACATTGGTCTCACGTAACCGGCTTTTGTCGAGACTATGGTGCAGAGCGAGAGGAACTAGGAAGCCATATCCTCTTTTGCCCTTCTTCCTCCTAGCATTACTAGTAAGGCTAATTCACCGCCCAACCAGAACCAGACCTGAACGTACGGCGCGTAGCGTTCCTCGCGCGCTTCAATTAGTCAACAGACCACCACCTACAGGGCCGATGTTGAACCGAGGTTGCGCATGCTTCAGTGTAACAGACTACGCTGACGCCCAAATGATCTATTCATGTCACCACAGGACCGGTCACAGGACCGATCCCTAGAGAACACCAGACGACATCTCTCGTGGGCTCCACACGCCCCGGTGACCAGGTAGATGACGGTTACGCCCGTCATATAAGCCTCGATTACATGACGTAGTAGGTTAAGTTAGGCAGGCACCTGGGTGCCTGGTACTGGAATGAAGGTGTTGGGGACGACGCCGCCACGACAACCCACTCCCTGGTCTTCTACTGATAATTCTCTCGAACAGTTTTTTTCCCACCTCGTCGTTTAGCACGGTGGACCGGTACGGACGAAGGGTCCACCGGACGCCTCGGCTTTTTCACAACAATCAGTAAACCCATTTTCCACGACAATTGAAACTGCACTCCATACATGCGCTGAATAGACTAATTAGTCGAGCCTTAGGACCTCCGAGGCCAGGAGCCAAGACTTAGCATACAACCCATCAGGTTCTGGGGCGGTATTCTTGGCGCTCAGTTGGCGCACCGCCGCTCTCACCAGTCCGAATACGGAATCAATGTTATCGTCGTCGTCGTTGTAGCCAGCATTGGGCACTGCAGGGGCACTCTGCGGTGCCCAATGCAGAGGCGTGTTATCCCTCTGTAGTCGGGGGATTAGAGCCTCATTTCGTTCAATATCTCCGGCCGGACACTATGTCAGCGGGGGAGCTCAGGTGTGGAGCTTATCCTGCACCATTCTATAAGGGTGCCCTACGCATCTCTGTTCAGAGTTTCCAACATCTCCGGTGTTTCGGGTGCCAGCGCAGTAATGTACCGCGACCCTGGCTTGGAGCAAGAGAAGGGACATTATAATAAATTAAATAAAACAAATAATTCCATTAATTGTGTTTCTTTTGTACTAGCTTAGTACTCATTTTACCTGTGAATTCACAATAAAATTTATAATCAATCATCAGGATATAATTAGGTTGTATTAAAGGCCAATAAAACAAAACCATAAGCACAAGGAAAACAGCATTTAATTTGGTGTAAAAATACAAAAAATATTCAAATTATTTCTAAATAAGAGTTGTGGTAAGAAAATAAACTTCCAGTGACTTCCGCAGCTTCTCTTGTTAAATTAGCATAATTGTTACGAATGCTCTTGAACCCTATTTGTATTAAAAACATAATAAGTTGCTAAGAAGTGAAAAAAAATATAATTAAAGAATTTCAGCGAAAAATCTTGATTTTCTATCTGTAGAAGGTTTTGTAAATAAATGATTTCAGCTGATGACTTTTGAGAAAGCAAAAAATTATTGGGAATGAGCTTCGAATTTGTTAGGTTTCTAAGGATTTTACATTTCTTCTTTCACATTGATGTTTCGAGCGGGGCGTTTAAATATAGAAAATCCAAATCACTTTGGTTCATGTTTTACATAAGTCTCCGAAGATGGAACTCTTCGAAAAGACACAGTTTTAGGAGGGGCAGCTATACGTTCTGCTTGCTGGGTTGCAACTGCTACTTCATAAGCAGCCTTTACTCGCTCACCCAAACTTTGGTCCACCAAGAATAGTAGTTTTAGAGTTCTCTGAATGACTGGCGGAGTGACAGGTACAAGAGATAACACAATGTTGTCAATAAATCTCTGCTTGTGAGCTTCGTCTTCCAGAATATAATTGTAGAAATACCACATCGGTTCCAAATCTACAGCATTACTTTGCAAAATTTGCAACTTTTTCAACGGTCTGTGCTCATCCACATACGGAACAGGTCCATGGAATGAATTAGGATAATAGTTTGGAGCGTTTTTCATGTTAAGCCTAACCGGTGGCCTCCCATCACGAACATACGTCTTCGAGTGCAATGGCATGTTTACTAAAATGTTTTCGTTGTTTCTTCCCAGGCGGTAATTTCGTCCATCTTTATAGACCATTCTTCTACCACGGAACAAATAGTCGATCGGCCCAGGAATACCTGGCACTAAATGAGCAGGATCAAAGGCTGCTTGTTCGATATCTCTAAAATAATTTTCAACGTTCCTATTTAATACCAACCGCCCAATTGGCACCGTGTGGAATGTACCATTCTTCCACAGTCTTGTTATATCGAAAGGATCGTAGTGGACCTTTTCCAAGTCATGTATCGTCATCACATCCATTTCAAGTGTCCACGAAGGATATTTTCCTGAGTCAATAGCGTTGTACAAATCTCGAGTATAGTAATCCAAATCAACTGCTTGAATGGCGGCTGCTTGGGCGGTTGTGAGGTATGAGAAACCTAAGTCAGTTCTGAAGTTAAATCGCACGTAGTGTGTCTCTCCATGCTTATTGGAAAGTTCGTAAGTGTGAATGGGAAATGCGTCCATCCTTCTGTACCCATCCGGAATACCATAATCAGACATTACCCAAAAGAGAGCGTGGCCAAAGCTAGGTCTTAGTGTTGCTAAATCATAAACACTTGTGAAATCGTACAGATTAGTTTGAGGATTTCTTTTAAAAGCATGATTTATGTCCCTTGACAACATCGGATCTTTAAAAGCAAAAATAGGTATTGAAAGAGCAAGGATATCTAAGTTTCCTTGTTTAGTGTAAAATTTAACCGCCATAGTTTTTAAGTCTCTGACAAGTTCGGATCCACCTTTGTTTTGAAATGCTGTTGCAAACCTGACAACTACAGGTGTTTTCTTACCCACACCATTAAAGACATCAGCGTATGTATACTTTGAGATATCTTTTGTTACTTCAAAATAGCCAAAGGCCCCAGTGCCTTTTGCAGTAGCAATTCGCTCTGGTATTCTTTCGCCGACTGTTGTCGTGAATGTATCAATAAATAATTCATTGCTAAATTGGTCGGAGTTAATTGTTACTGTGTCACGTATGTCAACTGGATCTCCGTTATTTTTAGTCCATAGTCCTATCGGGTACTGGAAACAATAAATAAGGTCACATTAAAATAACCAGTATTTTGTTCGTCGCTATAGAATAAACAAGACGAAACTTACAGAAGAACCATGTATTCAATCTGACAAATATATTTCACTGAATACGTAATGTATAACTTTGTATCGATATTTCTGCCATAAATTACAAATTCTCGGAATCTTAATAAGCGATACAGATATCAATTTTAGTACAGAAAAAACAAATACCTGCTTCCTATATAATTTTTAAAAAAGCAACCTAAGCATATAATTATTTATTCAGGAAATCACTAGCCTCGGTCACACACCAAGTTCTGGTCTAGCCGTTTTTGTGTGAAAGACTAAAAAACATATCTGCAAATTGTAATGTATCAGTACATTCTTGCAAATTTTCCCATTTACAATATTAGTAGGATAGTAAGTTTTTATGCTATCCTAATGACGGTGGTCATTATATATGATTGTGAATCTTTGATTTTTCTTCCATTAGGTTGCACAATAAGCTTGGTACATTTTGGCCTGATCATGAGGTACAACAATATACCCCATTTTCATTAAAATAATAATAAATATTTCCGTATGCCACAGCTGTAAGAGACGACTGGCTGTTAAAAGATTATTGAAAAAAAGATTCACCGGTAACTCCAGAATAAAGAACTGCATGATATTGGCGTCGCTCGCGTTAGCTACGTAGGTAAATTTCACATCGTGGTCGGTATGGTATTTGGGTAACCAGGTGATGTGCTGGCATCACTGCTTAGATCACATCTTAAAATGTAATTTACAAATGTTCGGGGTCAGGGTGTGATTTATGAGTGATTTTGCATTGAAGTAAAAGGACCGACGACTCAAAAGAAAAAAAATATTGTGTAAGGCGACGTTGAAAATAGTTTTCTCACCTGATGTTCTTCCTTAAAGTCCAATAATTGACGTTGAGCGGGTTCGTACGTAACATTAAGGTATTCATCACTTTTCACGACCATTAACACGTTAAACAAACAGGCTACGATCGCCTTCATGGTGGATTGAAAATTTTGTGGAATATCACTTTAAAACCTGCTTATATACCCAGTTAAAAGGAACCTTAGAAAGATATATTTTAACAAATTAACAGATATATCCTGCAGCTAAATGTACAGGGTGTTAATTTTACTGCATCGCACGCAAAAATGAGAAAACTGATCAGTAGATTTAATAAAATCTTCTATTGTCATTAGATCTAGTAGATTTTCTTAGTATTCTATACTACTGACCCGCATTATTTAGAATTATTTATTTAAGTTATATAGAAAATTTATTAAAATGACCGCCCGCCAAATGCGCAGCTTGTCTTCTTTTACCAGAAACACTTTCTTTCGCAAAGTAATTTTTTTTCTATTATACCACTATCTGCCGCTACAAATTATTGCATGGCGTAATGAGATCTGGCGCGATCTCATGGCAGAGTGGAAGCAATGTCTGTCGCAACCAAGGGCCGGACACGCTGTTATAGCAGCGGCAAGACCCCTATTTGAAGAGTGACGCTATGGCGTTTTCACTTTCGACCTGACGTAGACGCTTTTCGGGCACGGCAACTTCGGTAGGTTCCTGTTTCGCATCCGGTGGGAGAAAACGCCCAAGTGTTGTCATTGTGAAGACTACCCAGAGAACACGGTGGAGCTTACAGTAGCGGAGTGCCCTGCTTGGGCTGAGCACCGCCGAGTACTCTGAGACCTCTTGCAGCGGCCTTAGTTGTGGCCACGATGCGGAGCGAGAGGAAACCCTGCAACACTGTGGGCGTCGGGGATCGAGAGACGATCTCTGGCTACCGTAAGCGTGGGTCTGCGGTCGACGAGTAAGGGTAGCTCGTCACCGGACCAGAACCAGAGCGTACGGCGCGTTGCATTCCACCCGCGTCTCACAGAGCCGATAGACCGCCACAGGCCCTACAGGGCTGATGTTCAGCCGGGGTTGCGGGTTCCCTCCTCCCACCCGCCCGTCTCTGGGTGGGAGAAGGCATTTGACGATTATCCCCTTGCTAAAAAATGCCAGTATAATCCAATGCATCTTATTATTTCCTTATAACAATTAGCTGGACACCCTGTAATAATATAAATTAAAAAATACATTTTCAGAATGTTGCAATGACCTGGAAAAAAATGAACTATTGCTTTTAATTATTTTAAATAATAATTAACTGTACTTCAGTTGTAGAGTTTAGAAGTTGTTGAATAAAAACGCCACTATGCGCATCCGACTCAAAGCTGAGAGCACCAAACCAATCCATTTACGTAAAGACGTGAGGCAGGTAGACGTGATTTTTCCGAAACGTCCATTGGTGGACGTTTTGAAGCTCTTGGACTGGAGCGGACTAGGCATCAATATCATTGGCGAATACATCACTCGTCTACGTTTCCCAATGATTTAGTTGTAGTGGCAGAGTCGCTGGAGGACCTTAACACTATGCTCAGCAACCTCAACACCGTTTCCCAACTGGTGGGTCTTAAAATTAACGTGGCACGACGGAAATAATTTAAATGCCCTTGTACCGGCTATCGTTGGGTGCGATATCCTAGAAGTTGTAGACCAAACCAAAGTGTACAACCAATGTGTGTTTTCAGTAAGGCCATACGGCACACAGACGGGGTCCCTTGTTTGTGGTCTATTAGAGTGACTTAGAGTAGCCCAGCAACCGATGGAGAGAGCTATACTTGGAGCCTCTTTGCACGACAAAATCCGCAATATCGAAATTTGCCAAAGAACCAGAGTCACCGACATCTTAAAATCGGCAAGCTTAAGTGGCAAGGGGCAGGCGACATCGCTCGAAAGGCTGACGGTCGGTCGATGGGTCAGAAGAGTGCTCAAATGGCAAACACGGACAACAAGACGTAGCGTGGGAAGACCTCCAGCTAGGTGGACCGACGACCTCGTCAGAGTCGCGTGTGACTTGTTGACGTTCGGCATGCCTTTGTCAAGCCATGGATCACAATCACCAAAATTAAATACAACTTCTGGCAGGAGGCGTTTGTCCAAGTTTTATTTTCTAAAACATATGGATACTTCACCCCTGAAGCCACCCAAGTGGTGGCATTGCTGGTTTCTGGGCTTAACCAGCGTATTGTGCATCTAAGCCTATCATCTGTTCAAAGAGTCTACAACCGCTATCGAGAGACTGGTATGTTCACGCATCGTTACGGATTTGGCAGGAATCGGGTAACTTCTGAGAGAGATCCATTGATTGTAACAACTTCTTTGCGAAACCGACGCCTTAATGTATTTCAACTGCAGTAGCAGCTTCAAGTTATACGGAGGATTGCTGGAAATGAATCTATAATTAGAAAAAGAAATGAATCTTTAATTAGAAAAAGGTTAAAGAAACGTGGACTGGTACCACATAAGCCAGCAAATGGAATGAAGTTACCTGCAGACCATCGAAGAGTGCGCCTTGATTTTGCACGCGAGTACCTAAATTGGTCATACCTCCAATGGAGCAAAGTTCCCTACTCTGGTGATTGTAAAATCATGCTCTATTATAACGAGGGAAGGAACAAAGCCTACAGCGATGGAGAACGCTTTGCACAACGCTGTATTGAAGAAATGGTCAGTTATTGTGGTGGTTTGGGGAGGAATCAGCGCCGACGATAAGACAGAGCTTGCCTTCGTTACAAAATAAAAATAATTCATAAATAAAAGAAAACACGAAACCTATGAAAATTTAATTTGAATTTAGAAGACTAACATTAGAATTTGAAAATCTAATAGAACTCACTATTAGGCGGCATTTGATAATTATTCATAAATAATAATAAAAAAAACTGGCCAAGAGCGTATCGCGCTACGGCCAGTGTAGAGTTCCGTAGTTTCCCGGTAAATCTTTAAGCCGCTGTTCAGTGTAAGTTACCGCTGTTAAACCTGCGATTGTTTGTGCTGGTATGTTATATACAAGTTAACATGATTGTATCAATGTTGTTGTTTAATAAACGAGAAAAAAAGTAACAAAAGTACAGTAGTGTTTTACGTCGGTTTTCTAAGAAGTAGTATCACCCGTCGAACCGACCCATTCGTGCCGAAGAATGCTTTCCAGTTGAAACCAGACTTTAGTTGAAAAATAATTGACAAGTTGTATATTTGAAGTTCGTAAATAAAACAATTGTTAATTATGGAAGCAAATTTATTTTTATGTTACGAGACTGTAAACTTACGTTATTTTCTGGAATGAAAAATGCCATTTCATGTTTGTGTCATGTTTGAACTGTTTGAATTTTTCATTGAAAATGGTTTCGGGTCATCTTTAGGTTGTGCCCGCGCAGAAGGAACTCTTCTTGATGGTACAACTGGAGGCGGAACAGCCAAAGCGGCAGCTCGCTCAGCAGCAACAGCTACTTCATAAGCTGCTCTAACTCGCGTCGCCAAATCCCCGTCGACCAAGAATAAAAGTTTAAAAACTCTTTGAACCACAGGTGGAGTAACAGGCACAAGAGTTACAACCATATTATTAATAAATCTCTGCCTGTGACCTTCATCTTCTAAAATAAAGTTGTAAAAGTACCACATGGGGTCCAAATCTACAGCATTATTTTCTAATACTTCCAACTGCTTCCAAGGTCTTTTTTCATCAACGTATGGAATTGGTCCATTAAAGGAATTAGCATAATAGTTGGGAGCGTTTTTCATGTTAAGCCTGGTTGGCGGTCTCCCGTCGCGTACGTAATTCTTCACATATAATGGCATGTTCACAAAAATCTTGTTGTGGTTTCTTCCGACGCGGTAATTTTGTGCATCTCTATAGAAAATTCTTCGTCCACGGAACAGATAGTCCACTGGTCCGGGAATACCAGGCACCAAATGTCCGGGATTAAAGATTGCTTGTTCGATATCTCTGAAATGATTGTCAACATTTTTATTTAGAACCAACCGTCCAATCGGCACAGTTATAAATGTGCCATTATGCCATAATTTTGTGACGTCGAACGGATCATAATCAACTTTTTGTAAGTCATGTTTCGTCAACACATCCATCTCTAGTTTCCAGGCAGGATATTCTTCTTTATCAATCGCGTTGTACAAATCTCTGGTAAAGTAATCCAGGTCTAGAGCTTGAATGGCGGCTGCAGCCGGTGTAGTGAGTGGCGAGAAACCCAATTCTGATCTAAAGTTGAATCGCACGTAATGCGTCTCTCCATGCTTATTCGACAGTTCAAAAGCGTGAATCGCAAAACTATCCATTCTTCTGTACCCATTCGGAATCCCATAATCAGACAATATCCAAAATAGATTATGGCCAACCTCTGGCTTAAGTGTAGTTATATCATAAACGCTCGTGAAATCAAATAAATTAGTCTGAGGGTTCCTTTGGAATGCATTTACCAGATCCCTAAATAGCATAGGATCTCTAAATGGAAAGACGGGGGTTGAAAGACATAAAAGGTCAAAGTTTCCTTCTTTGGTATAGAATTTAGAAGCCATAGTTTTTATTTCTCTCTTAAGTTCAGATCCTCCTAAATTCTGTAAAGCAGTTGAAAACCTGACAACTACTGGTGTTTTCTTCCCCACTCCATTGAATACATCTGCATATGTATACTTGGATACATCGTTCGTGACTTCAAAATAACCGAAGGCTCCTGTACCCTTAGCGGTAACTGTACGCTCGGGTATTCTTCTTCCATCAAATGTTGAGAAGGTATCGACAAACAATTGGTTGTTAAATAGATCCGAGTTAATCGTTACTGTGTCACGAATGTCAACCGGATCTCCAGCGGTTTTGGTCCATAGGCCTATAGGATGCTGAAAACAAAACCACACAACTTAAAAAGTAATAGGTATATTAATAATCGTTAATACAAACAAAAAGTAATTTTTATCTCATATTTTTAAATTGGCTATATTATTCAAGGATTTTTTTCAGTATTCAGAGATTGGAAAATGTATTTCACAATCGACCCTCTACTTCTAAAAACTTCCTTCAAAAATATTATGAAACCAATAAATAATTATATCCCATTAAATATCTCCTTTCAAAGAAAATCTTTTTTTTTTAAGTGTGGGAGAGCCATGCTTCGGCACGAATGGGTCGGCTCGACCGGAGTGATACCACGGCCTCACAGAAAACCGGCGTGAAATAACCACTGCGTTGTGTTTCGCCGTGTGAGTGAGGTTACCGGAGGCCCAATCCTTCCCCTTCCCCAATCCCTCCTCAATCCCTAAATCTCCAAATCCCTAATCCCTAAAAGGTCGGCAACGCACTCGTAACTCCTCCGTTGCGAGTGTCCATGGGCGGCGCTGATTGCTTACCATCAGGTAATCCGTCTGCTCGTTTGCCGACCTATTACATAAAAAAAAAAATCTCTTTCGGCCTTATCACAAAACAAGATTTTTTAGCCTAGGTCAAAACCGTTGTACCCGTTTTTGTATTTCGAATTGAAGATATGTGAGAATAGATTAATTTTCAATGGTTAGATAAAAGTTACCTGGGGAATAATTATGATGCCATCGCGTCAGAATGTTTGTATAAGACAGTGACAGCAACAATTTCATTCCTTAGATAAAATTTATTTGACTTTGAAAAATAAGACCTTAAGGGTTTAAAACTAGGCTAAAAATAAATCTTGTTTCAAAAAGAGGGTTTCAGTTTACGCACCGGGTGTTCTTGTTTAAAGTCCAACAACTGTCTGTGAACGGGTTGATATGTGACATTAAGATATTCATCACTTTTTACTAGAATTATCACACCAAACAGGTACACTACAATTGCCTTCATGATGGATTGCGGTCTCGTGCAATGATCCCACGAAACTGGTTTATATAATTGATCAGAAATCATCGATAAATACTTGTAATTATCATACGAAAAACAAACAAATACGTTGTATCCTATACATACATTTATACAGGATGATGAGATCCCGTTTAACCATTAATCTATACCCCTACAAAGCATACACTGAGAACTTTGAACACCAAAACCATAGCATTATTAGCATATAAATAATCATCACTCATCTACATTTACTGACGTTGATAGCTGTTTATTATAGTGCGAGATCTAACAAAGTTTAAAAAGCAAGAATTTTGGTAAGTAAGTTAGACTGATTTGGTGATATACTCGTATCGTCCCTCTTGCTCTTTCGGTTACAGTTTGGGCTATCTGGCTTGCGGTAGCGATTGCGTGCGCATCCTACCTGTCCAGGCGATATTCAGATTTTGAAAACATTTTAAGAACCGTTATTTCTATTTTGAATAAATCTACCCAACGTTCCCAACAGCTGGCCACAAGCTATTGTTAATAAATTATATGACAGTTCCAAGTAATTTACTTTGGTAATGGTTATCTGTCTCATTGCCGACTTATTCTGCCCCTATCTCTCTCGGATTACTAGCTTCATACTATAATAGTTTTCATGACTTTTTCATTTTATTACAACAATTGAAATTATGTCTATCAAATATTTTTTTTACACATTTAACAAATTAACACAATTATACAATTGCAGACATTATAAAATACTTTGAAACTTTAATAAAATAAATATCGCGTACGGTTAAGCATTGTCATAAATGTCTGGCAATAAAAAAGACTTGTCAGGTCTTTTTCAAAAATAAAAAATCTCAAAATTATCACCTGGACAGCTAGGACGCTAGCACTAATGAACGTAAACGCTATCGGCAGTGAGACAGCCCAACTTCTAACCGAAAGAGCAAGAAGGACGGTATATCATAAATTCAACAGATCTGATTTTATTTTTCGAAAATTTTGTTAATCCTATACTATTATATACCCTTTGCACGGGTATAACTATGTCGCTAATACCGAAAATATCACTTTTCTCAATCTTCCTCTCTATTTTTCTTAGATTTTCTAAAAAAAAAAGTATTAACAAAATCGATTCATTCGTTATTGAGTTATGCGCTTACAAAAACACATTTTGCTATTCATTTTTATATGATACCCGACTAGTTTCAAGCCATGCTAGAAACTAGTCGGGTATCATATAAAAATGAATACATATTCATGAGCAGAAGTAGCAGCGCGACAGTCGCCGAGTCGCGTGTCGCGGAATGTGAAATCTTATTAAGCCGAAAACATAATAATTAATTTAGAATGTCTCACGAAAGTTGTAATAAAAATTTATAGTTTATTTTATATACAGAGAAAGTATTTGTATAAAACTTGATTACTGTTTTTTATTTGCAGTTCTTAGCTAAAATCAACTCAAACATCTACTCAGACACCCTGTACGTAATCGTATACAAAAATTACACTTTAACAAAATTGTGTTGACCTCAAACCAACTAATTATTTGGAATAAATCATCTATAAAAAGAAACTGTCTATAAATAGTCATTATTATAATAATGAGGTTAATCCATGGTCTTTTGATCAACATAATAAATACATCAACATTCATAAATGAAAAAGTTCACATCAACATTAAGAAATTTTTATTTACATGTATGTGGCGGTAATCTTTAGAACCACTGGTCCATATTCGAAAATTCTTTCACTGATTGATAGCAACTTATACTTGATTTACGTGTTTTCGTTGAAATATCGGTTTGAAGGCTGCTGTTTTTAAAATCCCGGGCTACATTACGTTTGTCACCTAGTATTATATAAATAGTAAGGTCTTACATGAAATAACAGGCACAGCTTAACAGCGTTTGCCAGGTGTTGCACATTTTAGAGCTATAAGTGACTTATCTTAAAATAAATTACATTTGCTAAACATTTATTTTTTTAGTATGGTATTTAATTTTTTTCGAATAAAAATAGGTAATATCATGTGTTATGCGGCTTCGTGTAAAAAAGTATTCTTAAAATTGTAAGATATACTTAAGTTGAAACTGCAATGCATATTTTCAATGAAAAATGCATTCATCAAGCCATGACTGCCTATTCAACACGTTTATAAGTACACACAAAAACTACCTTTATTGTAGACTATTAAATGGCATAAACTTAAAATGAAACAGAATTAAGTTGAAAAAAAATACCCGTTCCTTCTTTTGCTCTAGGTTGAGGCTGCGGTTCCATATTGACCCACAACCACGGCTGAAAATCGGCCTTGTTGGGCCTTACACCCAGGGCGACAAATATGTCATATTGCGATTTTATAAAAAAAATAAGCTATATTTTGAATTTAACTTTTTACAAATCGATAGTGTTTCATATACTGAATCGACACTCCGCTGAGTTAAAACGATCAAAATTTTGCTGTGAAAAACAATCGAGTATACAGGTTAATTATAAACAATAACAATTATACCTAACTGCAACGGTATTTTTTTCTTTCTTTCGCATTCCTGCAAAACGATGTAACAATGTACATATTAAACACTAATTTAATTACTAGGCACAGGAAGTATTCGTCGTTTACTTCCAATTTGTAAAATCACTATTCAGTACTATTCCACAAAAAACTAGGCAAGTTATGAATAGGTACATAAGTGTTATACATAATCGTATAGCTGCTTAGGAAGAGCGTTTCAAATATGGATTAATTAAATGATTAGATTTGTTGTATGTTATCTCGAAAAAATAACAGTCGGTGATGAATCCTTTTAACATTATTAATGCGAACGATTGTAAGGATGGATGATTTTTTTTTAATGTGATAGGTTGTCAAACAAGCAAACTGATTACCTGATGGAAAGCAATAAGCGCCGCTCATGGACACCCGCAACAACAGAGGACGAGTTACGAGTGCGTTGCCCACCTTTTGTGGATTAGGGATTTGGGAGATTTAGGGATTGGGGAGGGATTTGGGGACGGGAAGGATAAGGCCTCCGGTAAACTCACTCACACGGCGAATCGGTGCCGCCTATGGATCTCGTAATACCAAAAGAGCTACTACAAGTACGTTGCTGGCCTCTTGTGGGCTCTTAGGGATTTAAGAATAGGGGATATGAGGATTGAGGATGGTGGAAGTAATAGGGCCTTCAGTTATCTTACTCACACAGCATCACAATGCAAATGTTGCTTCACGATGGTTTTTATGAGTCCCTGGTCGCCAGCCCATCCTTCCCGAAGCATGGGTCTCCCACACTTAAATAACTGGTATTTTTTACTCTTTTATGTAAAAATACTGAACTAATCTGAATAAAATTTGACAAAAATAGCAAAGAAGAATAATACGCGGGCTCTTTTTACCCTATTACTTAAAATCGCTGGCAGCAAAACTTGTTATCCATACAAACAATAGATCGAATGAACTGTTTTGATGGTCGACTAAGAATTTTTCTTAACCATTTTCTTCCCTGAACATTTGTGTTATCTGACTGAGGAAGCAGTCTCGAGACCTCATACTCAGTATTTGAAAGAAGAAAGGAAACGATTTCTCTTTGTTTTTCTGTATTTTTTTCCTCAGCTTTTCCACAGGTTACAGGTGTTAACCTGTTTTATGCTATTAAGGAAAAAAACAACAACTAATAACAATATCCATGATCTTAATAATACCTCATAACCGCAATCGTAACAATCCGGTTTTTACGAGCTTAACTAAAGTTACGTAAAGACCTACATCTACATCAAAATTTTAAAGCAAAGAATTAGTATTCAGAAACCCAATACTGAAAACGTTAATGCTAAGACTAAAATAGCACAGCTGCCATCTAAAATTTCAAAAGGCTCGTCGGATCACCAGCTGTCCACCTTAAGTAGAGCTCCCTCCCTTCCCCTATTTAAAGTAAACGTAATGTACCAAGGGGAAAATAATAAGTCCGTGTGGTTCAACTTTAAATGGCCTACGTCACGTTTGTGTAGTCAAGACATAACGGCTGTCTACAATTACACCGTACTGTAATTTAGGTGCACTTAAATTGAAGTCAAACTTTTTTTAATAAATCTAAAAAGAAGAGGAAGAGTAAGAGTATCTCGCCGCCCGACCAAAACTAGACTCAAGCGTATGGCGCGTAGCGCACCGAGTGCGCTTTAGAGAACCTGAAGAGCCACCACACATAGGGTTTAACAGAGTTGCGTTCAGCCAAGGTTGCGGGTCAAGCGCAATAAATTACCGCGGTCTTGGCCTGGAGAAAGAGAAAGGACGGGGTGGTTTTTTTTCAGAGTCTGTTACTCCTTCTCGCCATACCCTAGGCAAATGTCACAGCGACTTTTTGTCGGTAAAGTGAGTGAGATTATGATATAGGAGAGTGTGTCACTGCGGTGCCGTGGCAATACGGTGACAAATATTTGCAGTGGTGCGATGTTGTGATGAATGCAGTAGAGCGGCAAAAAGGTGTTAAGATTAATAAACAAAACTTTTCAATCTGCAAAAAAATAGGCGGTTTTAAAATACAATTGCGTAAAAAACAATACGGTGTAATAGTTGAACATTTTAACGAGGATTTTACAGCTACAAAATATCTGAGCTGAGTTTTGCGATACCAATATAAATGCCAATCGCACTGCGCTTTTATCTTTCAATTGTAAACATAACATTTTTATTACAAGCCATATCTTTCGAGTAGGGTTACATTACCAAACGGATACAAATTCAAACGACTTCTGTTTACATAATGTGTGCCAGCAATGTGATGAAACTCGGATACTGGACTCAGACCACATCACACATCATCAGCCTATAAGTACCCACTGTTGAGCAAAGGCCTCTTTTCACACAGAGAAGGTTTGAGCATTAATTACCACGCTTGCTTAAAGCGGATTGGCAATTACAAACTTATAATTAGGAATCATAAGTCCAGGTTTCTTCACGATGTTTTCTTCACTTTTTGTCAGTGGTGTCTAAATAATCATCATAGAAAGTACATATAACTCAGAAAAAGTCTCATAAGTACTTGCCAGGTTTCGAACATACATAAGAAGCGGACGCTCTAATCTCCGGGCCACCGTGACTTTGAACTCAGATACGATTTCAAAATGCGACCAGTCGTAAGGGTAATCTCCAAGCTGCCTGCTAAGCATGGGGATCATACACGCTACTTTCGCAAGAACTTTTGTAACATTACTTTTATATACCTTTTTTTGAGCGGGAAAACTCATCAAATGTCTTCTACCGTCTTGATTTGTAACAGAAGAAGTGTCAGACTCTTCTGACTAAATGTCATCCCTTTTCTTCTCCTGCTCTTGGCGGTCTACTTTTGCGCTTGCATCGATCCCGGTTGATTCTTCGTACCTATCAACTATTTTCTTTTAGGTATTGTTTTTGAGGACAAATATCATCAAATAACTTGAATGAGTGTACTCTTTGTGCTCCGGGCAACATTATTGCGTTTAGACTAGGGTTTCTCTTCATATCTACTTACCAACTATTTTGAATTTAGGGCGGGCTTTATTCCATATAACTCCTGATTCCATATTGCAATTTGAAATTACACAGCACTTCTCATTGTACCCTTAGTATTTCTCTGTCAAAAATTTAGTCTCTAATATGAACGTTCATGAAGACAGAGTTCTCAAAGAACACCACCGTAAGGAAAATTCGAAAATTTATGGGTTCCACCTTTTTATTGCTGCATAAAGTCCCAAGTAACAGCGTAGGTATTCTTACTTTATGTCATTTTCTCTTTATCGTTTTGTTATAAAAGCGAAGTTATAAACGTAATCAATAAATGAGAGTCGTTTTGGGTTCCAAAGAGAAGCGTAAATTAAAAAAAGATGTACAGTTTGCCAACGTTCATACTTAAAGGTTGAGCCATTAAAAGGACACTGTTCTTGATTTTACTAAAAAAGACTGGTGACCACACAAAGACAATCAAACATTAACTCCGTATGGCAAATTGAATTCGACTTTCTGACTGAATTCGACAGTGCATTTCAACACCTACTCATGCCACTCTTTTTATCCGATTTCCCAAAACTAAAAGAGATTCTCAATTTAAGCACCATAATGGCACAATTTAAAATTTTATCAAATTAACATTCCAGAACATTCCAGAAACCAAGAACTTTTAGAAAAATCGAACTATGCACATTTTCTCATCTTTCTATCAAGTCTGGTAAGAATATTGAATGAAAATAACAGAGAGTGACAGTTATTATGTTGGGAGCCATACGAAGGTCTGAAACGTGACTAGAAAGCTTATGAGACTGGAAAATTACTGGACTTATACACCAGAATCTTGACAAACTGTCGTCGGTAATGAGTTACGTCATTCATATAGCTATTGTAGGTTTCGTTGTTCGAAACTAAATCTAATAGCTATATTTCACGGATCTTCATCGTCATCATCATCAGCCTATAAGTGACTACTGCTGACTAGCAAAGTTCTCTTCTCACTCAGAGAAGGTTTAGCACGCTTGCTCAAAGCGGATCGACGTATTCAAACTTATAAATAGAAATTTTATATAGCTCCAAGTTTCCCACGATGTTCTACCTACACCGTTTTTCAGTGGTGTCGAAATAATTTTAAAAAGTAAAGAAAGAAAGAAAGAAAGAGAAATAATTTATAAGTACATATAACTTGTATAAAGTCGCATTGGTACGAGGAACGGACGACTATTTTATTAAGTAAATAATTGTTTACGAAAGCCTCTGGCTTGCAAATCGTACTTACGGATCACCTAAACCTTGCCATAGGTAGAATTTTGGGAACTAAGGATGACCATATAACCAGATCAAATACTCCTCCCTTTTTTTAAAACTGACTTATATACCTAGTCCCTGAACTTAATAAAAAATAATATAGAAAACAACCACAATGGCGCAATTATTAATAACTGCGAATCTAAGTAAAAAGAATCTTCAAATATGAAATACAAATTTCAATTACTAAAGCCAAACAGAAATAGGTCTACCCAAATACCTACATGCTTTGAACAATACACCAATCTTCTAACAAAAATATCCACAAAATGAATGTTACATCGAAAAAGGATCTCATCAATTCTTTCCAAGGGATATAAATTACCATTTAAACCAAGCAAGGAGTCTTGCCAAGAAAACTCCGTTCCTTCGCACCTTAGTATTACCGAATACCGAATTCAGCTATTGTCTCTGGCAAGCTTAGTATAAACTTATGGTGACAGTAAGAGCGGGTGGTGGATGGAAGAAATAAAACCAAAAAATAGTATTTGACACCTAATCAACCTACCCACCAAGACAAATACAATAGAAGAACAAGAGGTGAATTAAATTCAATATATTTAAAAATAGACTTTACATATTTTTGTGTTAAACAACATACAAAACAAATTAAAAGTTAAAAATGATAAATCGAAAAGTAAGTACCTATATTGTCAAAACAATTAATGAAAGAAAATTTTTGTACGAATATTTAATGTAAAATATTTATTTTGGACATATAAAAGTGCCTAATTTACTAAGATACCTTGTTTTATGTGATGATCATGATAGTGAAGTTAAAAGGCATTCTCCTTTTAAGGATTTGGGGAGAGTGGTAGTAACTTCACGCACAGTTCGTAACAAACACAATCGCTGATTCCCGCTGGACTTTTATGAGAAGTATTACTTTAGTCGGGCTAGCCTATGCATGGTGCAGCATGGCTTTGTGCGATAGTTTGTTTCCAGCACTAGGTCATTTTTACCTATGAAATCGCCATCTTTTCTCATCCATTTCCAATCATCGATTCTTGGCGGTAAAACCATTCTGTCCCGCTGATTTCTGGTTCCAAGAAGAGCATCAATAAGCTACCAATGCGTTAGCAACAATTATATAACCCCTTCACATAATACGCTTTATTTCTTTAGTGAAAATAGGTTTTTTTGTGAGGGGAAATCATCAAATGACTTCTCCCGCCTAGGGCCTGGCAGGAGGAAGTGTCAGATTCTTACTGACTAAAAACCCCCGGTTCCTTATCCTGCTGTGGCCCGAGGCCGCGGTGACTCATTGCGCTTACCCCGCAACCCCGGCTGAACATCAGCTCTATAGGGCCCTGTCTGTGGTGGTCTATTGGCTCTTTGAGGCGCGCGCAGAACGCATTAGGCTTAAGACCGTATTTGTCAACCAAATAAAATCAAAATCATTTAACATTATATTTAAGATCTTAATTCGTAAAATATTTCATCAAATCGCGGTCACTAGAACCACGCCTTTATCGTAAGCTTGTCTTTAAAGTCGGTGGGCGTCGAGGGTGGAGCACCCCGCTTATGACGTCACTCCAAGATCAAGGCCAACTGCGCTACACACATTTTTTCTCTATTAAGAGGCCTAAAGCATGGGTTTTGTTCAGCTTTGTCTTTCAATCGACGTACGTGTTTCAATAGACTTTGAGAAATGATATTTTTCGTTTGATTTACAGTTGTGAATTTAAGTATATGTAGCATATGAACACAAAACATGATTCAGTGCAAAAAAATAATGTTAATTAATATGTAATAGACCAATACTCCAATCATAATTCATACACAACTGCATAATTACATTAACTCTGTTTCAGAATAGAATAGAATATAATTAAGAATAGAATTCTATTCTATGCTATTCTATTCAAAACTGAGTTTGATGGTAAGCAATCGGCGCCACCCATGGTCCCTCGCCACCCTAGAGGAGTTGCAAGTGCAGTGCCGGCATTATGGGTGTAAGGGGTTTTGGGGATTCAAGGTTTAGGATGGAGGACAGAGAAGGATTGGGCTGCCAATAACCTCAATCTTTCACGCCGGTTTTCTGTGAGGTCGTGGTTTCGCTCCGGTCATGGCTCTCCTTCACTTACCTTTGGCCTTTAGGAGAGGAGAGGCGCATGGGATAACCTCCCTCACAAGGCGAAATAGTGCGTGCTTAGGTAATGCCTGCAAAAATATAGCTTACGTAGCCTAAGTTACATACAACGTGAAACATATATTTTTCTTAATGAACATACTAACTTAAGTATCTAGGTCCTAAATTAAAGCCTAAGTGGCACAAAGAAGGAAAGTTCCTAAACTTACCTATAGTAAATTACTTTTGGCCTGACGCTCACTAAATTAGCGTGCCCTGTAATTTTGCACTTGAACATTAATTACAAACTATTTAAATAAAAGACAGGGAAAACGTAATTTAAAGGAATAAGCGTTAGGCAAAAGGGGTTTTTCAATTTGTTATTATATATAGAGACTTGTAATTTCTTGTAATCGGTATGTAATTGTGTGGTATTAAGCAAATAAGGTTTCACAGCCTTTTCATTAACATCAATCATTAAATTATCATAAGTTGGCTTGCTGTATGGAGGTTGAGTATAAAAAAAACTTCTAGTACATTCGTAGTTTCAGCAGAATCACTGAATGATGTTACCAAAAGACAATTAATATCCAGCCGAGGTTGAGAGCAAAGCGCATTAAAGTACAGTGGCTCGGCTCACAGCAAAAGAGGAAACGGTTTGGTTTTTAGTCAGTAAGAGTCTGACATTCCCGCTGGATCCAACCACGGTTAGGTTTTGGTACAATTTCAACAAATTACAAATTTAGCAATACGTACAAACTTTGAAATAATAATAATGATAGAATATTAATTTAACATGACTTTTCTTAAAGCCCTTCCATAAGCAATGCAAAGTTCATTAAAAGAATACGAAACAACCACGTGTAACACAAACTAGGAGTGAGAAGTACCTACACAAACCGCTAGAGGGCGATACGGTGACAATTTTACCGCGTATCATAAAAGTTATATTATTACTCCTTCGACGGTAACTACCCGTACTAAATGGTGCAAAGACCCTACATTTATTTAGGTTTAAACTCTTAATGTGACGTTATTAACGAATGTATGTAATTACACAAATTATAACAGTATGGATAGCTAGTAATTATGTGTAGGTCTTAAGTTATTTGTGATGGTAAATGGAAGAGGTTAACTTGTGTCAAGATTTTGATATGGTATGATGTCTTTTAAGTATGACGTTTTTTTACCGTTTAAAAATATGACTGACCATATTGAAAGATATAAGTAGTATGCTTTAAAAAATAGAGATTATACAATGAATATTCTTTTGACTGCGCGATTGGCGAAGTGGCTGGGCAATCAGTTTTTTTGGTAAACAGCTGCTGCGCAACGTTATTCAAACAGCAAACAACTACTTATATTATCTACATATCGTATTTTTGTGTTTCGCAGTAATATGAATGCAAAATTTGTAAACGCGCCTATTATACAAGAGAAAATCTTAGTGAGAGTATTGCATTCGAAACGTACGAAATCAGATATACCTTCTAATAGCTCAAAGTCTATTTTTTTTTCAATTTCCATCAAACATACTAGTGATAATAGCATATTACAAGGCTAAGAAGTTCTAAAGTTAATCCACGACCATGGTGGCAAGGCACCTTTTTAAAATACTCAAATTCTACTGAAGACTTTGTAATCAGAAACTGAAAATACAGAATGAAATATATTCATACTCATTGATGTCATTATAATTTG